ACATTACCGGCACGCTGTTGAGTCATTTTCTCTTCAGTAAGCATAAATGTCTATTTCAGAGACAGCAAACGCCAGTGTGGTCACTGTGTGTGTGGGCAGAAACTTTATGAGAGTCCAGAGAGCTGGTTTAGGCCGGCAGCAGAGGCCACAGCAGGTCTCTGCCTCAGCTAGGTGTGTACACATCCCTCTGTTTACATGTAACTTCACCACAACTTTGCTCAATTTTACCTGCCCCCAGGGTCAGGAACAGCTTTAAAAGCTACATTATATACATCATATAATGAGATGTGATAAATTGAAGTCCAAAATGTGACCTTTCGTAGTGTACATGCAGTTAAATGATAACAGTGTCTAGTAAACAGTGGTGCCGGTGATGCAGCAGTGCATAAAGCATGCCTCTGCTTGTTGTTGGGAGTGTGAGGGGGTAGACAGCTCCCGCTCATAAAATGTCTCAAGTCAGAAAGGCGATAAGGATGCAGGGTTAATGTGGCTTGGCACACAGTTTTATTTGTGCGGAGGCGGTGAAGTCCAGCTCTTCTCTCCCTCCTGGACAAGCGTATAGAGCGGAGTGGATACTGTTGCAGGATGGGAAGTGGTGGGGCGATGGTGGATGCTTGGCTGAGGCAGAACAAGTAGGCGAGAGAAAGATGAACTGAGCTGTTTTATTTCTGCCGTAAGAGAAGTATGCAGCACAGAATCTTTTACAAGAGAAATAGCCGTTAGAAACAAACAAAATGAGTCACTGAAGTTTTAGTTTTTTGTTTTTATCTGATGTACTGCAAAACAGCAGAATACAGTTAATTGATTGGTACACCAGTGTAAATATAGTATATATATATATATATATTAAATTCTTACTAAAGGGACACTTAGTTTTTTAGAGAGTTTAACAGTTATCCTGTTTTACAAACATACAAACAGGTGGTGTGTAGTGTGAAAGGCATATATAATGACAGGCAGCGTCTGAAATGTAGGATGGAATTTGATCCATACTAGGGACTTAAAGTAAAGTTGAGTTTTGGCTTCCACTGCACTGATTTTGACCATTTAAAAAAAAAAAAATCGGTCAATTGCAAGTTCCCAAATTTTATCGATCCAACTCTAAATCACTGGAGTACCACTTCAATATTGTGATATTGATTTCAGATAACTTGATTTCAGCAACCTGGGTAAAACTATACATATTATTATCCTACTGCACTTGACATGAGAATAGTTAAATTGATAATTGATGTTTTTCAGTCATATTCCATGTAGTCACTGTAGAAATCTCATCACTTTTTCTTTATCCTGAGCTGCAGGGATTCTCTGCTGCTATACATGCATACATAATGAGACAAGGCTTGGTAACAAAACTGTTTCTTGTTGGTGTTAGGGATGAGCGCCACTGCGAGTGAATTGTACCACAAGGTTTCACACTACTGATCAACTATAGCTATTTGTATGTGAGGCAACACCAGAGCCTGCTGTCTTTTTAGGGAGGGCCAGTGACCCTATCATGGACACGGCCTGTTAAGAGAAGCAGCCTTTTCTTATCTGCATGCCCTTGGAGTACGCGCCCATTGATATGCCACCTTGACTCTATCTTCATGCCAAGATGCTTCCAATTATGCGAGCCGCTGGAGTGAGGCAGAGCGTGGGTTTCTGTACGAATAAAAAAACTGGTCCATGGGTAATGTGATCCTGCTGCTTTCCCCCCACAGGGATGGTTTCCACACATGGAGGGGGGATTTAAAAGAACAGCCATTCTCTGCTCAACACTTCCCAGTTCACCACTTTTCCTACAGTCTCATGACCCCATAAAGCAGACTGATCTGTTTATTAAATGGTTCATCACCGGGGCCTGAGCTCTGCGACATCCTGCATCTATTATATGCAGCACTTCAATACATCACATGTGGGCATTTTTGCTGTGACATCAGTTCCTGTGTTATCAATCTTTCTTTAGATGCCTCTTTTTTAGGCAGTGTGATGTCGGCAGACAGCTGGGCTGAGGTGACTGCACAGTCAGGGCAGCCCTGTGACTGACAGCAGGCTGTCACTCCACTGAAATGACAAGCTCAGTGTTGGACAGCCACTGGGAAAACAGGAGATGGACGGAAAGGGGGTATGGAGACTGACTGTTTTTAGCCTGGGGAAGCTTCTTCACCTACCAGGATGTTTGTGTCAATGTTATTCTCTTCTTTTATGTCTATTTTCTTGTCAGGCCTTTCTTTCTCTACTTGCTCTATTATCTCAGTTTGCAAGCAAAAAAAAGTATCTGCACATTGATTTTAATCTCAGATCTTTTAGTACTTCCTGTCACTTATTTCAAATTCAAGTTTTCATTCATATTCCCTTCATTTGATTTCCCTGAGCTCCAGAAGAGGGCAGCACTTCTTTACCAAATGTTATTGTAAATTCTGCCATGTACAGTATTCTGACATCTAAAGCTCCGCTGTTCAATTTATAGAGGAGAAACATGCAGACAGATGTCATCGTCTTGAGTCTTCCCACACAAAGAAGTCCAGAAGATGCTGCTCATTCCCAGCATGCTTCTCATCCCTTTAATCTCATCTTCCCCACTTCACTATTTTGAAAAGGAAGCCATTCAGACTAAACGTAGCTTGTCGTATACACTGTGATTTTGAAAGTGCACAATACAATTTACAGCAGACTTCAGTCACTTCCAATTCTACTGCCTGTCGCCCTTCTACTCGCAGTCTTTCTGCCTCTCACTCTCTCTCCCCTTCTCTCTCAACTCGCCTCACTTTTTCATTTCACCCCTCTCCCTCTTTGCCTCTGCTCCACCCTGTAATCACGCCGGTTCATGGCTCTCATTTGGAGTGGTATATATAGCAGTAATTGTCAGGGTGCAGTACAGAGACTGGGCAGAGCATGTGTACTCTCTCACAGGGCTGTTTTGCAGTAAATCTCGTAGTGGAGAGGATTGGGGTGGGGTGGGGAGTGGGGTTATGTACGTGCACAAGCACATGCACACACATAAAGACACATTCACTTAAACACAATGCTCAAACATTATAGTAATCACGGAGAAAAGTAGATAAAATTTTACAAGCACCCAAGAAAAGGCATTGTACTAATTTGCAAGCCTTCTGTAAGCCGCCATATCTCACTGCCTAGTCATTTACTCTTTTAATAGACCCCTACATGGAAATTGAATGTGTCTCATAATGCGTTTTTCTCCTTATCTGTAAATATTAAGAATCCCTGGTGATGAGTTAGGGCCCATATGTCAGGTGGTCTGCTTATGATCCATTAGCTAATGGAAACACACACACTCACATACTGTACATACGCAAACGAGTGAAAACAGGTAGATCAATTATAAGTGGAAGAAAACACTAATGAGCATTGTCATCACCCTCTTGGATTATACAGCATCAGCTCATCACCTGGAACGTGATGAAAAGCAAGTCACCATGAAGGCAGCGCAAAACCAGTCAGTTCAAACTGTTCCTATTATCAAACCTGGCCACGTGTCCTTCAGCTGAGACATTCCTGCTCAGTAATCTGAAGTCTGATCACAGAATTCCCTCGCCATCTCTGTCTGCCTTTATAAAGCATGGAACACTGCATCCAAAAGAGATGACGGCAAAACCTGTTATGTAGTCCAGTTGTTTGTATGTGTGTGTGACAGGGTGGTGGTGGTGGTGTGTGTGTGGTGTGTGTGTGTGGTGTGTGTGGTGTGGTGGGGGGGGGGGGGGTTCCTTTTAGCTTGTATGGACAGGTTAGTCATTCAGAGAGCGCACACAGTCTCCATTGTGGAGCTGTCTGTGGTCCCCATCGGGTCAGGGTGGGGTGGCAATGGGGCCTCCCGAATAAAAACACGTGCTGCAAACAGGAAGTGGGTCTGTAAGGATAAAACGAGACTGTTTATGAATGCAGTTTGCTCAGATTTCCTCAACTTTTTCCCCTCAAGTTGCTTTCTTTCTCTTATTCTGATTCATCTTGATAGAGCGATTCAGTTTGCTTGGGTTTCACTTTGGAAGTAGGTCCACACATGTCCACGCTGCTAAAGAATGAGCCTTCCTTGAGATGTAATCAAGCTTTGACTAACCAAATCGTATTCTCTTGAAGCAAGTTCTAGACACTAGTATCTAGTGTCTGCCAGCATGATGAGATAATTTTGGGTCTTTCCAAGGTAGTGATATGTTTCCAGAGAACAATTGAAACTGCACAAGGAATAAGAGGATTTATCTCTAACTTGAATTTTCACCGGCTAAAAGGTTAAACACACTACAAAAAGAAAAGACCTAATATAAGATAAGATAAGATAAAATAATCTGTGAAGTCCATGTGTGTTTATAGTAGTACAGTATGCTGAAAGTGCATGAAAGGATGCTGAATGTGTTGAGAACACACCGTGAACCCAGGTGCTCTGCTTTCAAGTATTCCTTTCCTGTTTGCCCCGCAGCTGTTTCATCCCAGCCAGTGACCACTTCACAGCTCTGCTGTTTTCTTTCTGGGTGGACTTGTCAGCAGTGATCAAATCAGACTTTTTGTTAAGTGTAAATTTCCTTTCCAGACATAGCTGATTACTCCACCCAATTCTAGCAGATTTGATATACTTGAATTTAGTCATTAGTTCCTGGACACTTTTGTGTATTTTCGTTTCTGGAATAGCGAGGCCGTTTCTTGGTTCCCATGAGGGGCAGTGTTTGTGAAGGATTAAGTCACAGAAAACTAACAGCTTGAGAGGGTTATCTTTGGGCAGCCTAGTCATTTTAGTGGAACCTTGTAAAATAAAGCCCCAGTATTCCACCGGGCTGTAAGTGTCTAAAAACCAAGAACCCAGAGTGCTCCAGTAAAGTGCTCAAGTTTGGTCGGATCAGATCTTCCTACAAAATAAGGAAAATGCTATGCATCATGCAGCATCTCCTGTGTTCTTGATGTAGAGAAAACACTTTCTCAACAACCAATATTCTGCAGTGTCATGCATTAACAGCAAGAAGGAGGCAGGAAGCAGAGGACAGCTTAGTATGTGATGAAGTTTTATTGATTCACAGTAATGATGAATGAATGCATTGTGATTTGTTCTTTAACTGAAATTTGCCTCTGACTCAGCCAGTGTCTTTCCACAGTTAATCATAACTTTCTTCAACAAAAAAGCCAACAAAGCTTATCACCTTCATACCTTTAAATATTTTACGAACAAAATAAACATGGGTACAGGTTACTTTCTATAAGATCATTTGGTGTCATCATGTACGCATCACAGCTAAAAGAACCTAAATCACATCACATTAAAAATTATTTTTACTCTTGAGATGAGGTGAAAGTCCCTGAGAGCACAGTGAATATAATTGTTGATAAGCACCACGTAGTGCACACTCTCAGTGTGTTTAAGACAAAATAAAAGTGTAACTGGCCATGGAAAACAACATCCCAGTGCTATGTTATAGCAAGGGTACAAATACAGTAATATGATGAGAGTGGTGACTATGAACCAAAGTAAGCTATGTAATGTCATATAATTTTAAATAACACACAGAATAGACCATGGTAATATGTCAATAGGAACTGTACATAAGCACAAAACAAAAAAAAGTATATCAGCAAACACTCATTTTAGACTTTCAGCTCTTTCTGCTAACATTTATATCAACAGTTTTTTATAGTTTGGCCTGGTGTGTATGATTATAAAAGGTTATTTTAATAAGCTACACCTTTAAATCATGTTGGTGAGTCAAAATCATAAAGGCCAGTGCGGAGGAAGACAATCTGTTAAAGAAATTAATAAGTCTACATGAGCCTTTATGAGTGACGTGTCCTTTCCACCACGTGTCCTGGAAACTGTCTATTAGACACCATTTTAACAGGTTCAACCGCTGAGACAATAAGCCAAACACATTAAACACATTAATGGGGTAAAACATGATTAACACAAGTCCAATGTTTTAAAGAAAATTTGGTTGCATCATGGTTTGGTGTGGTGCTAAAAAAGTTACTTAAACAGCAAAGAAAAAAGTGGAGAAAGATACAGTTTAGCAGGCTGAGCTTTAGGAAAAATAAGGCCACTGTTTACTCTGTTGAAGCGTGAATCGAGGAGTTTATTTTTTCTCCCAGACAAACATGTTGTTCTCGTTGGGGAGCTGAAAATGCCAGCTTGTGGTCGCTGTATGGCTGCCTACAAAAAGGCAGCTCTGGTAGTAAAATAAAAAACTGTATGTCTGTATAAGTCTTTCTCCAAACTTCATCCCTTTCTATCCTTCTGTCTTACTTTCTCACTCTTTCTTTCAGTCACCAGCTCCCTCACTAAATCTCTCAGAATCTTTCTTGTAGCTTGTGTTAAGTTGGAAATCCAGATTTCCAAGTAACAATTCCATAGTTTCTTTATAAAGCACATGCTATAGCCCTAACCTTGACCGTAACCTTATGTCTAACCCAAACAGACATAATTAAAAGGCGTTTTATATGCTCTCAAAACCCAGCCTGCCTGCCTACCACAATACAGTGGTTTTGTCAGCATGGTCTTCCCTCCCATTACAGAGGCTGGAAGAGAAAAGCTGTAACGTTCCACTTGTTTTAATAACTAAAGTAAAATAAGTCAGTAATTAATCATCCGCATCATGGGTATGTTCTAATACTATGTCCTGTAACTACTATATGAAAACGTTTTTCCCCCTGGTTAATTATGTCTGAAAAACAAAAAAGAAATATTCAGTATTGTTAATTAAATGCAAGCTAACAAACTCTTCACTGAGCATGCTATGTAAGTGTGAATTCCATGAATAAATAAAGGTACAATATAAATAGTACACTTAATATGAAAACTAAACACAAACCTTATATTTCACTTTCTGAAATGTAAAACACAATAAAGTATTTTTTTTAGATAAACACCCTAAAAATCTATCTGGTGGCTAATTAAAAATAAAAGTGTGGGGGCAAAACTAGAATACTGATGTTTAAAAGATAAAGTGCTTTGTTCCATAAAAATCATTTGACCTCTTCTTACCTATTCTAGATGAGAAGCAAAACTTTTAGAGCACGACTACACTTTTATAAAACAATGATTTTGTTCAAACCAAAGCAATAGTAAAATACCTAATTATCTGTAAAAAGAGACCCAAAATGCATTGTACAACACTGTTCACCTGAAATGTAGTGAGGTTAGTATAACAAGATACAGTATTGGTAAAGAGCACCAATATTGAAGTAATGTAAAAGCGCAACAGCTACAAATGATCCAGTTAGTCAAGAATTTGAAAAATAATGCCAACTTTTTGCTACAAGTGATCTAAATGATCTTTTTGCAAAAGAAATTACCAAGTCACAATATTATTATTTTTTCTCAGATTTTCATTTCTTTTAGCATGGGAAGATTTCCCGACACATTTCTCCATTGTCTTTGTTACACATTAGTTATAGCGACATTAACGTCTTTCATGCCTATATGTTTTGAATAACTAACTTCAGTTACTAGTAGTCCACATTCACAAAAATCAGTATAGTCTGAAACAATATCCAATATCATATGTGACTAGAGTAAAAAACATGTTGAGCAATCTGTTCCACTCTTGTTGTCAACGGCTGTTTGAGTTGAGAATGGAGTCTCTGCACTGGTCGCTTCTCTGATATGATGCTTTTATGAATATTTTATCCACATCTGCTGAGGAGATGAACAGGCACCATTTTGTGTGTTCTCTGTTATTGTGGGTGCTAAGGTCCCAAGGGCCTAGGGCCATCAACCTCAGCCCACCCTGAGTATTCTCTGGGCCCCACTGGAAGGCCTTCGTACTGAGTCCTGGGATGGGCTACACAAAGTTGTTGGTGATTTGCCGCTGGTGCTCAAACAGGTCTTCAATCTCTGCACTATATGCATCTCCTATAAGGGCAAAAAGAGCATAAATATCAATAACAAATGACAGGGAAGAAATGAAGATGAGGAGGGAAAGAGGAGAAGGGTTTTCTGTCCTCACCTGCATGACATCCATACATGTACGCTCTGTGGCCGTCATATTTGCACCGACATCTCATGACATTGTTCATAAAGTCAGACTCAGCCATGTCCATAGAGGGGTTGACTTCCACCTGCAAAACGACACAATCATAGTGTTGACAATAAGCTGATGCAGTATCACAACAGGAAATGTTTCTGACCGTAGAACTTGCAGTTATACGTTTTATCACTGCAACAAACATAATTTATTACTTTGGTTTTTTTTTCACTTTCATGTAATACTGTATCTTCAGCTGGCCAGGCTCATGGACAAACAATGAATAAGTCTCCTCTCTCTACACACTGAGAAAGCCATTTAAAATAAACAGCAGTTGGATGTAAAATTGAGGGCCTGTTATTAAACAGCACTCATGGCTGGTATTGTTTTTACAGTCAACCCCTTTCTCATCTATAAAAAGCTGGATGACTTTTCCATACAGTATTGCTATTTGTAAAGATAAATACACCATACAGTACTCGCTTGTGAACTTAGCATTGGAATGATGTTCAATTGGTAGTCTACTACTGAGCATACATGTGGCGGCAAAACACTTTTACCATGTGTTATGTAAGTACGGAATATACTGGTAGATGTTTAAGGAAAGCCCATTGTAAAATATTTTATAACCTGTATGAAAACATCTAACAAAGACGCACACAAAACATGATCGCTGGCTGTGTAAGAAATTATGCAACTTTACAGCTGCGATTCATGGAATGTGGTTGTACCGCAGTGTCGAGTGTAGCCCCCGGCTCTGGCAGAGAAGAAATCTGCTCTGCTCCTCACTCCAACATAGGTATGCAATAAGGACTGTAAGGACTGAATTAGCCTGTAATTGAAGTCTGTTGCAACAGAGTAGTTATGCATAAGCATGTTTATATGTCTGAAATCAGCCTTATTTTGAGTGCTGCCATACACTGTTCTAATAGTCTGTCATTTGAAGAGCAGCTCTATAACTGCTGATACTACCATTCTCTTAATCTGGTCTGGTGATAATACTGAGAAGCCATTTACTCTAATAGCTGCTCTGTAAACTGCTACACCCACTTTAAGTACAGGTTACAAACAGCTACAGGGAGAAGGAACGTACACTACACTAAAAAAGGAAGAAAAACTTTAAAAAACTTAGTGAGTGCACAAAAACTGTCTCTTCATTTTTCAGAGTAAATTACAGTGTTGGACCAGAGTGTATGAGGCCTTTGCAGGGGGCTGGTTTAGAGGCAGAATGTGTTGCTCAGTGAGAAAGTGGCAATAAAAATAAAAACAGGGCAGGAGAAATTCCTTGGTGGCAAATTAGCCGTTCTTAATGGAAGGGGGACTAGGTGCTGCTTGACTAAAGTGAGGCAATAGTTAATTTGGGTAATTGGTGTGTTTCATTAGCACTGGGTGGTTCAAGGGTAGGCCTGCTGAATCTATGTGTAAAGCCCAGGATCAGAAATGTCAGGCATCATCTGCACTTTACTCGATAAATGAAAGACTCCCTGCTTGGCTTACTTTGCGCTTTCTCTTTTTCTGTCTTCTCATTCTCTGTAAAATTTGGTTATGACCCTTTTGTGCTGCTTTTGTCTCCTCAAATGACCATGACCTTCTCACCTTCAGCAGTTCTTCCAGTTCCTTTCTCTCATTTATCTCAACTCCATTTCTGTCTTCATCCATCATTCATTCTCTCTGTCTGCCTCCACATTGTCCTGTAGCAGTGTACCACTTTATAATTACACCCTGCTCAACATGCTTAAATTACATCCAATTGGCACATGCATTTATATATATTATATATTTGTGTCACATCTATTATGAGTAAATTAAATATCCATCTTCAATGGAGAGTAGAGAAGTGTAATTACAAAGACTGAGTGTGACCTCTCATACAAAATGGGTAACAGCAGTAATTATCAGACAGTGAGTTGCACTGTAACTGGTTGTCAACAGCTGGGATGTAATTGGCAGCATACTAAGATCTGAGGACTGCTGCATACCATGGTGGGATCAGTAGTCTGAACTGGAAATGGAGGATAATAGGAGATGGAGTCCTTGATGTGTTTTAGTTTAGTAACCACAATGACTCGACTGACTGACCCCGGTCAAAGTAATGACAGACAGAGGAATGGCTGAGGTGATGACTGTGATGAGGGAGGTTGGAGGGTTTTACCGAAATAGACAGAAACCCCGACCAGTCAAGTGAGAACCTGAGAACCTTTTTCTTATTGACTAAAACTTTGGCCGTAAAGGAATGGTTAAACATTTCACGAAATATGTTATCTGATTTAAATGAGTTAAATGATAAGATTGATGCCATTCTCATACCTGTACGTTAAATATAAAGCTATAGTTAATTAGCTTAGCTCAGCAGAAACACTGGAAACAGGGGGAAGCCTGCCCCTGTCCACAAGTATCAAAATCTACCTAACAGATCCTCTTAAGCTCATTAATTGGCATACTATATTTTGTTTTTTTTAACCTGTACAAAAACATAAGTGTAAAGATGTCACATTGAGATTTTTTTAGGGGGTTATGTGTCTGGCTATGTTTTTTGGCTAGCTACATTCTTGTTACTCTGAGGTTGTTATACACTTAGTGGAGACTCCAGAAGACAAGTATTCAGGAGGTTACTGCACCCAGCTAAGAAGCTGTTATTTTGTAACCCACTTACCAAGAAAGCAAAATAAGAAATAAAATTTCCCAAAATGTCATATTAAACACAAAGTTAACAGTACTTGATTTTTGACATGAAATTACTTCTGACCTGAAAGATGTAGTCTCCTGGCCGGACATCTGTCACATCAACCCACTGACAGTCGATATCGTGGCGATAGGTATCCCAGCAGCCCACAGAAATGCCCTGGTCACCCATGTTATAGCAAGAGAACCGCTTCTGGACTCCTAACACATTTACACACACACACACCAACAACATCATCAATCACAACATCAAAATTAATTTAATGCTTGGCACTCTCTCTTATTTTTAAGAGCTTCCTTGAATTGTGTTAGACTACATGTGAATGCTGCTTTTTCATATGAGCCATTTCATCAATAATATAACAAGTAAATGGAGAGTGAACAAACAACAGCAGCGATCTAATACATTAACCACAAAGTAAAAATCTAAATAGCCGTAGCTGAAATACTGATATTAATTTCCTGTCCCTAATGGGAAAGAGTATTTGACTGGGACTCATGAATAGTTGTGAACATTACCATCAGGGCAATACGTGTCCTCCAGACAGAAACTGGCCTTGTGTCCCTCTGCAACCCTCGTGCCATTCAGAGTCAGCAGGTCGTAATGTGTGAACACCTCGATGCTGTGGTAGTGCCTAGGACGACAGAGGGTAAAGTCCAGGTGAGCGTGTGTATGTGTGTGTGTGTCTGTACATGTATGAGTGTGTGCATTTACACTAACTGAACACTGGCTCCCTATGGCTTGTAGCCTAATGACCTCACTGCTTGAACATGAGCATGGGTGTCACCGTAACACCTCTCACAGAAGCTTGTTTTAGCACCAGCTTGGTTGTGCTGTGTACTCATTCTGGGTGAATGGGGGGCTTTGAAACACACATCCATAGCTCTGATGTGTTGTTGTAACAAACTGAGGTGTACCTGACTGGCCGTGGGCTACCCTGTACTTTGTATTACACCCGACCTGTGGTAACTGGATTGGTTCAACCGTCATTTCCACAGACACGTGCTGCAGGGCGGCTAATGAATCTGGAGAGATGACAACACTGTTTAAGGCCACCCATAACTTACTGAGACAAATCTCACACAGCCAATACTGTGGGCTTCAAATGACTCCTTCTTCTCTCATGATGACAGGCCTGAAAGTGCTCTCGTTATCTGACAAGAAACCAACATACTGATGGGAGGAAGCTGAGAGGCAGAGTGGAATGTGTTAAGAGAACACCTCAGGACAATATGTCATCTATTTACAACTAACGGACAAATTGCTGCTGAGGCCCAGTGACAGACAAACGCTCTTAAGTCTAATGTTCATGTTGCACGCTACCTGCAGACCACTTGTCAAACCATATGAGCCGTTGGCACAGAGATCACACTTCAGTATGTTTTCTTTCCTGGTAGTAATTGAATGCAATTAAATTAAATATAAATCAAATTACTCAACATGGAAGGAGCTATGTCATTAATGCACGTACAAGCAATTTTGAACCAAGAACAGGTGTTTGTCTGAATATTTACAGCTTCCAAAAACCACAGCTCACCTGCATTCAGGACACTCTAAACCACAGTTTTCCCAAAAACACTTAGAATGACCACAAAGGCAACTTCACCATCCCACATATAGCAAGTATTTAAACAGTTTTTTTAATTGCAGCAGCCTACACACCCAAGCAACCAAACTCCTCTGTAAACTCTTCAGGGATGCTATACCTGTGACACTGGTGCCACGTCCAGCTCTCTCTTGTAGCTTTGGGTCTGAAATCGGACCGACCCAGGTTCATGATGCGGGAGGAGAAGCGCAGTAGGCGTCGGTGGCCATAAGGCCAGTTCATCCTGGCAGCAGATGAGGACAGACAGTTCTCCTCATTGGCACAGGTTAGCAGGTGGAGGGGTCGGTCTTCTAGGTAGGCTGTCTCCTGGACCAACTGGGCATCCAGAACGAGGTCAGGTGCCGCTGAGGCAGGTCAGATGTGAGAGGTTATGTTAGGATTCAAACAGAACCAGAGGACAAGATGGGGAACTACAGGAAGATGGCTCAACTTACTGTCCGAACAGCTGACCCCAGCAGCCTTAGTTCCACCTCCGCGAGGACAATGGACATGGTTGTTGCGACGACATTGTTGAATTGAAAGCTCTGTGCCCACACAGTGGGTTCCACTGAGAATCACATCGGCTGCATTTGGGTCACCGGTCCAGTACCAGGTCTCCTGTAAAAGGAGAGGGTTGGGGTTGTCAGGTTTTCTGTCAGTGATCAGTACCATAGCTCATTGTCCACCACAGTGAATACAGGGGTTGTGACAATGGATTGGCCTCCATGTGCTGCTTTGTTTAAACATCTATTTGTTTGTTCTTTCGTCAATAACTCAGACACTGCTGATGGGATTTTGTCAAATCTTGAAAGATTGATGCCTCTGACCACTGTAGTCTGACATTTTCAAAATTACACTAATTGGTTTAGAGGTGTGAGTGCTGCATTGTTTTCTTATTCAGGACATTATGCCCATTCTTTAGACACTAATGATAAGACATTGATAATAAATTGTTGGCGTAAGTTGCGGCATTTTCAAAATTACCCAGGCTAAAGGGTGGCACTACAATGAAATGCTTGCTGCAACATTGTCAGTTATGGATGTTGTGTTGGTTAGGGGGTTGTTACCTGATGAGCACTGGCAGCGAAGCCCAGACCGAGCTGTCTGCAGACCACCATGGCCTCGTTGATGCCCCAGTTCTCACTACAGACAGAGCCCCAGCGCTTACGACCTCCAACCTCCATCAATACCTCCACACGGCCTTCTGATGGGACTCTACCACCAGCAAGCCGCACCTAAAATCCATTAGATTAAAGGGATTAAATGAACGCTGTGGTATCAGTGAAACCTGATAAGTGTATGTCTTGTGATGGTGTAATTTTCGTACCGTGTTCTCCATGCCAGTCTTAGGGACGTTACAGCGTACTGAGGCATCCTGACTGTGTTTGAATGTCCATGGTTGGACTTCCTGGAAGTAGCAGTCGAGGATGGAGCGCTCTGACCCCATACACTGGACACTGTTCATATGGATTGGTCCTGTACCTGAAGGAGGAGGAAAAGATGTGGTAGATTTAAAGACTATGTTAACAAAAATAAAGCAAGGAAACCAGAGGAGCATGCTCAGAACTAAACATTTTCGGTGTGTTGTTTGGGGCCACCCACTGTAGATTTACAGGCATTAGCAGACGTTATCACGCAAAGACGCACACACACATACAAGTGAGGCTCTGTATTCCCTTCATGTGAATGAGCTTTCTCTACTTTAATCCAACAATGAAAAGTTCCTATCTGTCATGACAAAATGCTCCTGCAAGCAAAGCAGCAGCAGCACCAACATCTACTTTGGGCATCTGTCACACCTCATTACCGCCATTCTGTTGCTTCTGGTGCAACAACAACAACACTGCGTGCAGTCCACCACCCTGGGTGAACAAATAAAGCCAAATCTGTGTCAACAAAATAAAAGACTTTCACTAGTTTTCGTTTGTTGTGTAAAACCAGATAATCCTAAACAACATAGAAGATGGTGGAAAAAAAGCTTAAGATTTTCTGAAAACAAACGGCTGCCGCCATAATTGTGAAAACACAGAACAAACCATGGCTTCAGTGTTTGCTTAAAACAAAAGTCACAAACTGCAAACTTGGAAATAGGGTAGTATTGAAATAAACACAACCAAAACCACAAAAACTAGGGGAAGGAGAGAAAAACCAACAAAGAAGAGTGAAAAGGAAGATGACTGAAATGATAGGAACCAGACTGCTGCCTAACCCAATGTGTCCCTGTGTTGGTTTTGGTAGATTGTAGGCCTGCTACCATACTGGTCACCATGCGTGGGTTCATATGTATGAAAAAGACACATCTAAACCACTTCCGCCTCTATCTAAATGGTCAGGCCACAAACTAGATCCAAACTTCCACTGTTTAAGTTATCAAGACAAACATGGGGCCTCGAGAGGTTCTCAAAATGAACAGTGACATGCTGTATTTAAACCTTAGTTTGGGAAATCCACAAAAACCCAAAATAAATTCCAAAAACTGGCCACATACACTGTACATAAACACAGTCATTCAGGGTGTTTTAGTCCCTAATGTAGTATAGTGCACTATATGTACAGTATATGTACTTCACTGGAAGAATTACACAGTAAAATAACAATGTTGGTCAAGAAAGGAAATAGAAACATTGTCCCTGTAATTTAACACACTGATGGTGATAAATGTAATGATGACGGGAGTTAGATCATTGGCAGATGGAGTTTGAACATAGCTTTTCTTCATTTTGAATTTCCTAAATAATCGAGGCTTAAACTTCAGCATAAAATGTCTAAGGATGACAGCAGCTACGAGAGCAATAATGGGGCATAATATAAATGCGGTATCTTAAATTTAGTATTTACAAGACATAGGTTGAGCTTGATTACCATATAATTAGAATTGGCAGATGCCACAGATCATTTGGACAGATTAGAAAAATTCGCTTTAGGGGATGGAAACAGGCTAAGATCAGTCACATTCTTGTTGAGAATAGCACAAATAGTTGGTTAGTGGTTACAAGGGAAACCCTGTTCTTTTCCTCTCTGAAATTACACTCCATTTTAGGCACATTAATGTAGTGTGAGTAGTGTTTTTCTTTTCATGGAACGTCTCTTTCAATGCCTCTAACAAAAACATTCATTCAATAGCTCAGTTCTGTTTCTCAGCCAAGTGCTAAATAATGTAAGTTTGTAAATAGATATGCCTGCCTGTCAGTTTTAGTAGTATAGTAGAAGCCAACCAGCATCAAAATGATGTTTCCTTTGTCAACAGGATTTCAAAGCTTGTTAATAAGTTATAAGCTGACATAGTTAAGTGTATATGTGTGACAACTCTGATGAGTGAGACTACAAGCCAGAGTATCTGACCTGCAGACTGTCTACCGCCCTTTCCAGCCAAACAGCCAGTTGACTACAACCTTTATCACATTTGCTCATCATAAATAATTCAGCGCTCTCCTGTGGGGTCTTATTGCTACAAGATTGGTATAAGAAATCATGAGGAGTTATTTCTCATGTACTGTCAGAAAGCAAGTGTACCTGAGGAGTGTATTACCATCTAACCCAAAATGTTGATGTGTTTTGAGAGATAATAATTTAAAGAGAAATTAACTGCGTACACAAATTAAACATTTGCACAAAACTAAATTTTAAACAATTCAATCTTTCAGAACGTCTTTTTCAGTGAGAGTTTGTCTGATCAGAGTGTGTAATTTTGGCCTTTTCCATCAACATATAGGCCTGTGTTTATGTGGCCTTCGAGCACATGGAAAATTATATGTCCCAGTAAAATGTCAAAGAAACTGCATGTTAAAGAAAGGAAACTGTGAGAGGACTTTGAAGTCCAATCATCCTGCAGTGGCAGCATATATGTAAGTGTAAGACAGAAAAAAAAGGGAGAGTCCTGTACTGTGTGTGTGCATGCACATGTGTGTGTGGGTGTCTGAGAGAAAAGAGAGTATGTACGTACAGTATATGTATGTGAGGTGTGTTAGGGCCCTATTTTAATCGTGCAAGTCCAACAACAAACACAAAGCAGTAGGTCTTGGGCGCACAGACTGTGTGGTCATTTCCAAGGGCACCTGCTATTTTAGTACATGTATGTGCAGCAGCTCAAAGTGCCAACAGGCTGGGTGAAGGTGGACATTGATCAGAGCGTGTGCTGATTTACACATATGTCCCCCACATTCATTGGTACAATAATGATAAAAGCTAATAATAAAACAGTTTGGTGGAGCTGTGTATTTGATTGCATCATTCCGAAGCTACCTCAGTCATAATTCTATTGTATTTCATGCTCTAAAATGTGACAAAGCAGCATTTGCTTCATTTCAAGAATAGAACATGAACAGCTGAATTCCTTTTTTAAAACTCTGGCACCCCCCCAAGGACATGTACTCGCCCCACTACCCTTCTCTCTCTCCACCAACAACTGCATCTCAGTTGGTCAGGTAACAGGCAGAGAAAAATCACAGCAGACCCTTCACATCCTAGTACATGCTACACAACACTGTATGCCAATACAACCAGGCACACAAACCTCTTCTCTCCACAGACCACCACTCTGATGAACAGTTAAATCAGTGATTTAATATGAACTGTGCAGTAAGCCTGTAACACTGAAATATCTACTGTAACTACAAATTGTAAATTATATATTTTACCGTTATATACACTTACTGTGCCTTAACAGGTACATATCATCAAGTCTAAGCAAGCTGTGTACACTGCATACATGTATGTAATGTAAATAAGCACCTATTTCATGTATATAAAACTAACCTCTTACATTACCCATTCAAGATTTATTCCAGCACTCTTTGCACCCTTATACTATTATATTGTTGTTTTTTTCAGTTTGACTTGTATAATATAAAGCAGCTGTGGACAGCAGATACTGTAAGAATCACTCATATTCATTTATAGATTTAATGCCAATTTAAACACATCTACTGAATGTTTAATTAAAATAGTTTATATACATTACACAGGAGTCAGACGTGAGTAATATAAGATGAAGTGGAGGGTAAACCTGCCATTTGTCAAACCAAACTGCAGCTGCAGAGCCACATCTTAATGTTTTAATTCTGAGGCAGATTTTATTACATACATACATACACACACACACACACGACCATGCATGATGTACACATGCTGGCACTTGCATGCTTGCAACACAAATGTAGCTTTGTGGTTAGATTCGGCAAAACCTATTCTAGGTACAAAATTGAAAGCTTTTTGGCTTCTCCTGACAATTATACACCTTTGAACCTCAACCATGACCCAACGACTAAAGTAGCTAATTGAAACCAGACGCCGGGTGCAATATAAGTCCCCTTAGAAAGCCAACTAAACTAGATTTTAGTTCTGTGACATTCAGCAAATAGAAAGGTAGAATAAATGACGTTATCTACAGAAAACCCATTTATTTATTTATTTAAGAAGATAAAAGGTAAAAAGGGACAAATCCAACAAACACAAAAATATCCTATGTATGATCAACTACACAGCTAAACTAGCAGACTGTCCTCCCTCATCTCATCTTGATCAGCATGATTGGAGACTACATTCTAGCCTGAGGAATGGGGAAACTGTTCTCACATCTCATAGGGGTGGGGACACCACTGGCACAGCTGGATACTGACTGAACCTGTGTGTCACCAAGACTGAAAATTTGAAATCAAAGGAAAAAAGACCACAGCACTCAGTGAGTGAATGAAAAGCTTGCTTGAAGTTAGCAAGATTATGTCTGTGGCTTTAGTTACCAAATACTGAACCACCACAAAACCCAACATGGCTTATAGTATTTCACTTTGTGTGTGAATGCGTATGTGTGCACATGTGCGTTGTCTTGTGCAGCTGGTAGCCCTGGCACAGGAGTCACGTAATCATAGTTGGAGATACTGCAATCAAGACATTGCAGCTTCACAAGGTAACATACACAGACAGACAGACAAACACACGTGTCCATACATTATCTGATCAGTCAGGGCAGACGGGTGATAAGCAAAAGACAGGCAAAGTCTCCCTGTCTTCTCTGGAATAACGTGATACAAGATAAACTCATTCAAATATCTAAATTGCAGACTTAAAAGAGCTAGATTAAATGTGGAGTTTTGCAGAGTTTACAGCCTAAGTTGTGTCTCTGTCTCTCACCTTGACCCATGAAGGCTCCATGCAGGGCATCCTTGGCCGTACCAAAGCCCAGTTCTCTGCACACCACACTGGCTGCAGTTCGTTCCCACATATGGTCCACAATGGTCCCCCATTTACCATCTCGGAGCACCTCCACACGGCCCTCACCTAATCTGGGGCCTGCCTTCAGACGCACAGGCTGTACAGGGAAAAGGGAAAGGGAATATAACTTAGCTTATTCTTACGGGCAGTTTCTAAACACACTGTTTTGTGCTGCGCTTGTGTAGACCTAACTTTAATAATCTTACCACAACTGGATAAGGAGCCTGGGGTCTTCCTGAGGACATGCGAGCAAACTGGGGTCCTGGTACACACTTGACCACTGCATGTCTCCCATTCTTACAAGGGGTGGGGTTACGGGAGATTGACAGCTGAGCAAGACACTCTGACAGGGTGTTCTCAGTTCCCAGACAGTGAACTTTTTCTACCCAGAATCCCTTCTTCTTTGCCATGACGCTCAATCTGAAAAGAAGAGAAGAGAGCTTTAAATCTTTTATAATTCTCAATAGCATTAAATATTTATGACTTAATTAGAAACAATCAAAGTTACGGCTGAAAAAAAAAATCCTTACTTAGTGTTTACAAACAATCAAAACTGAGCTAATCTGCTTAATCAGGACTGTGTGGGTTTGGTTTGATCAGATTTTACTGTGCTGGCAACACAAAACAAACAACCCCACAATTTTAATCACATTTTGATTTACATGTTGCTAAACTCTGAGAGTTTTGTGTTTGTGTCAGATCGCATCAGTCACAGTAAGGAGCTAAATGAAAAAAAGTATTTTCAAGGCATTTAAAAGAAATTAAACTTGTTATGTCTGCCAGTATCTCAGTTATAAAATGGTCAAATATGGCTAAGAAACATTTTATTACCTTGTTGAAGGATCTGCAACCTTGGTATCCCATATTTTCCTATAAGAGAACAAAAGAACAGAGATGGATGTTAGTTCGGTCAGGTCTGTGTGTACTTGCTAAGGTACCAACACACACACACAAGTGTAGCATCTGCTTTGTTTTAAATGTAACCTGGCCACACCAGAGGGATTTCTGCCACAGTGAGTAGTACTTGGTGACGACTTAAAATAGTTACAGCTCAGCCACTGACTTTATCAGAAGAATGACTCACACAGCTCCGAATATGACTTCTGTATGTAAAACCAGAAATGAGCTGTGCATGTGGTTTCATGGTGTTTGTAAATTTAGGTACAGCAATGGTGATGGCTGGTATTGTTTGTCGAAGAGTTAACTGTTCTTGATTTCTTTCAGAATTTCTCTCTTTCTCTCTCTCTCTTTCTTATTTTATAGGTTGATTAACAGACAGTATATTTCCATCTGAAATGTGAACTGCTTGCTATTTACTGTGTTTACTGTGTTTGTGTTTAGATTAAGTGGCCAGTGTATCATATGTTCCTGAGCTATAAGGCAACAGTGCTTCCCGTACCCACCAACACAAGGGTAAGTGTTCAACAGGAATGTGCTGGGTAATTTTATCCAAATTACCCACCTTTACATTACATAAACTAACAAAGTCCCTTTGAATATAAGACTTTTGTGTTGCTTGTTGCAATATAACAGACATTTGTATACAACTGCAGGATGTAAGGACTATAAAAGGATAAAAAAAAAACCCCACAAGATATCTTGAACTATGTCGTTAACCTCCAAAGCCACTCACAGTCCAAAAAAATCATAACATTCAACATCAGTGATGTACAACATTTCTGGGAAAACAGGGTTTGACCAAGCACGATATACAAACAAAAACTCTGGCACATGCTGCACTGCATGTCTGAGAAATGCAAGATCCAAAGAGACATTTATGCACCAAGTAGTTGGGCTGACTTGAGAGCGATGGAGAGGAAAGCCTTCTGTTCTCTTGGCAGACACACATAGCAGATGTGCCAGACCATGCCAGGACATCCTCAAACCACTGCAAAGTGCATGCACCATCACCGACATTCACATCAATTACATCGAAACACTCGAGATGCACACGCTACAGCATACGTACACGTGCACACACACACACACACACAGATCTTTTCAAGTGTAATTTCTACAGAGTTTTACATCCGGCATGGCATCGCAGGTGTGGGATGCTCAAATGGTTTTCTGGCTTTTTTTGGCTACAGTGAAGAAAGCACAGGCAGGTCAATATTTGTATTTCTGACATGAACTCTAAACATTCCCGTAAAGCTAAGGCAGGGAACATTGAAAACAAACTGATCCTTAGTCTTGGAATCAAGAGAGGCATTGTCACTGACATGATGTTATGTCGATGGTTGCGTGAAGTCACGGGCTGCTAACTGTACACTTTCCAAAATCACGTAACAACTTTTTTCCTGATGCTCGCCAGAAGAGACCTCTCATCAAAAATATTAGTACTTGGAAAAGTAAGGGAAAATACTTTAACGATGAGTTGTTGAAAATGAGTATATGTTCGTTTCAGCAATCATATTACAAATAGAGGTGTTTTGCAAATTGCAGATGCTATTTTGGAATAACACTTTTCAAATGGACTTCAGGTCATTTCTCAGGCCCATTTGAAACACAAATAAAGCTCTGAGGGGCTCAATGACGTGCTTAAATTATAAACATCTGTAAATGAAATTTCAACAGCTTAACCAGCCTTGCCTGCTATCTTTCAAAGCTATATCAAACATTTAAGTTGATGAGGCAGAAAAATCCCATGATTTTAAAACACTTGCATGGTTCTAAATAAAGCGATGTCACGAGACTGGCTGTAATTGTGACTGACACATTGTATAGAATTTAACACTTATTGTTTAGAGTGTCTTGAATTACACTCGTAAAATATCTTAAATGTGTCTACCATGTGGCTCTACAGTAACATGTCACACACACACATGTACACACGCATGCACACATGCACACACACACATTTTCCCATAAGGCAAAGATGTCTGTGACTTGTTTGTGACCTCACCACAGACCAATCAGCTAACCATTTTCCCTCTACAGAAACCCACAGGACTACTACACAGGCTATAAATGATACTCTCAGGTCTTTCATTTGACTGAATTACAGCACTGTTTGTTAATATTGAACTTCATTCAAAAGGGATAAATACCACTTTTTAAATATATAAATAAATTAATTAAAACAAGGTCTTTCTCTTAGGTATTAAGGGTATAACTAATACCATGTGAGTATAGACAGCCTCACTAATAGTTTGTTTTCCACCTCCATAGCATTCATCAGCCTTGCTTAACCAAACACTGTATGCAGCACTTGTTGTGGAGCCAAGTGAACAGAAGCTAATGATAGGGAGTCCCACCCGCCTGTTAAAAGACAAGCATTACACCACTGTTTGGGTTTTATCACACTCACACTACTCACTTGTGTTATTTCTCCGTCTTCTTGTTTTGATGTTAAAAACAAAATCAATGGGTTTTTTTTTTTTGATTGACGCTTTTATTATTTATTTATTTTTAATAAAATGGATTTAAAATACAATTTGCATTACCAACATAAACTCTTTCAGAATTTTTTTTTATCACTTTGAGGGAGCTCATAATCACGTCAGCATTTTTTTTGTATTTTTTCCATTTGTACCACCTGAAGCATATTTTTGAACTCCTCTTGCCACAGAGAGACCTTGTTTACTGTAAACATCAGTGACTAGTATCTTTTCTCAGCAGAAAACACGATAACTTTTAGATGCTTGGGAACATATTATCAGTGTAAAATCCTTAGTTTTAGTATAATCTTTTAGTTTAATCTGATCCTAGCGATATATGAAAATTGGAAAAAAAAAAGTTTTCTACAGCAGGGGTAAATAAATATAATATAAATAAATATGTAACTAAAAATAATAATATATAATAATATTTGTTTTTGCAGTATACATGAAGAAGTTATGTAAACAGTGGATCTAATAAAATTTAAAAGAAGGTGCAGATAAAATATATTATTTCTCATATAGAGCATATTGAAGCCTTTTAAAATATTTTCTTTTTCTTTGTGTTTCTTTGTATCTATGAAAACAATCTTGTATGTCAAATAGTTGCTAAATATTTGCATGTAGAAAAGACTGATAAAACTCACTGTGCTTCAACTCAGCTTTTAAAGCTGGCTTCAACAGTCTGTCCCAACCCACAAAAAAGCCACTGGCATGCATACAGCAATTGTAATATGGGAAAATAAATTAGAGAGAAGGTCATTTAGGAAGATCACGAAGACATCAGACAGGAAGACCAGACTTAGTCACACAAAGTGTCACCCAAAAGACTGGAAATGATACCCTCATCATATGAAATTTTCAGCTGAAACATAATTAAACATAAAATGCCATTTAAGTCCCAAAATCACTATAGTGACAGAGGAAGACAGATAGCTGCTGACACAGCGGGCTGTGCTGCAAACCGCAGCTGTAATTGGACATATTTCACACAAGCAAGCGAAAATCTGGCTCGTCTGACTGCTGCTCGTGTTCTTTCTCTCCGACTCCTCTTTCTCTTCTTACTCACTTCATCCTCATGCGCTAACTCTGTCTTACTCTCTCTGTCACACACACAGCTATAATTGGGGGTGTTTTTTCACTCTCAGCAGAAACCCCGGAGAGCCTTGGTCCTGACCAACCTGTAATTACAGCATCTTCAGAGTCTCGTCCAAGAGACACAGGGAGCCGAGAGACATGGCATGGTCGGGGATTTCTAAGAATGGACTGAGAGACTTGGAGCGATGTGGAGAAATGGGGGGAGTGTCACCAGCTAAATTTGGTCAAACCATGCAATACAATCCTAAGCTGTTTTGGCAACTGGTAAAGTGGAAGATGTTACATGGCAACTGAACATTTTATTGTCTCAAATGCAACTATTTCTCTGTGACTTTGCTCACATTTTGTAATTATAACTATAGTGGCAATTTCAGAGTGCGATCCTTACAATTACCCATAAGTCCAGGCTGAAACAGAATTAACTGTTTTCCAAATAGTCTTCTGGTTAATGTTGGTTGTATATAAACATCTCATTTACAACAACACAGATTAGGTTCCATCTTGATTTTAGAAACCAAATGCTGTAAAATAACTAGTATATAACTGGCAGCTATAGGACACTGAGGCATGTGTACACCTTGAATCAGTCTTAAGTCAAAAACACGTAGTGAGAGAGAACAAATAAGCATCTGTGGACATAGAAAAGAGGTACAGATTTGGATACAAACACATCATCGTGGTTCAGACCAGTATAACGCCTGAGGCTTCAGCAAAACACCAGGTCATAAGAAGGACAGGCAAACCAAGATGTATCAAGTCACAACCGCCTCCATGCCAAAGCCTTATATTTTACACACACAATAAAAATTGACATAATGGCTTACGTTTGCCCAAACTTTTCACTGTACATTTACAAGCAGATTTGTTGAATGTATAGTATTATCCACTCTGTTGTGGCTTAGGTCAGACTAAAAAAGCAGGAGTGCTATTGTTTAAGTGTCTTTTCCTTGACCTTAGAGGGAGATGTAAAAGCAACATCTTGAAACAGCCAGTGAACAGCTTCCCTGCAGGCTTCACTCCAAGCCCTTCAAGCTACAGCAGTCCTGTCCTTTGTCATATCTCTCTTCTTGGTGAGCAGCCAAATCTCTTGTTGCAGCCATTCAAATCTACCCATGTAATTCCTCACTCAGCTGTTACTTGTACTTCTCATCTCCCCTTCTTTGCATTAAATGTCGAATCTGTACTGCGATAGAAAATCGAAGAGAGGCATGAAAGCATCACTCCTGCAATGCGGGGAAGCCTTGCTTTAATAAATAATGCTGTACAGACCATGTACAGAGTCAGGCCAGGCTGTTCAACGACAGCTCATTCTGAGGACCTTTTATTACCAAAGATATGATGCCTGATGATGCCCTCCTACAACAATAGAATCCAGTTATAGCTTCGCTGTGTTCCCAATAATACTGAGTTCAGCAGAGATAGCTTAATTCAAGGGCAATGCAGAAATACCTTTGGTGTGGGTGTGTGTGCTCCAATAGGAGCAGTTTGTACAGTCAATAAAAAGTTAGAAAAGTCTATAAAACAAATAAGCTACCCCCTCAACAGTTACAGCAGCAGTAGCTTGAGGAATCTAGCACCTAGAGTACAGAGCAGATGTTGCGGTCTGTCGCCAGTTGAGTCAGAATAACCCTCGCCAAGATAGGAAAGAAATAGCTAAACTGTGAATCACCTAGAGCCAGAAGCTCTCCAGGAGCAAGATCCAACTAGGTCCCCCTTCCACTGACGACAGAAAATGGTCAGACACTATTCATTCTTATAATAGCAATAGAGTAATTCTCTGCTAATGTGTGGTCCTCCTGTGGTTTAAGAGCAGAACCTTCCCAAAAACCACTGCCAATGTTTTTTTAGCAGGAGGAGAAGAAATGTAGATGTGTGTCAAAGGGGCAAAAGGAGACATCTAAAAGCAAGTCTTTAAGCACATGTGTCATTCGGACAGTTTACACAAGAGTATGTGCATGTACATGGTGGAGCAGGGTCTTGAACCTCAACATGTTTAAAGGGGAAAAGTTTGACATTTGGTGAAGTGTAGAGTTTGTCCCTTTTCCTGGGTGCCGTTCTGGGCTATTTCTTGGCCGAACTGACATCTTTACTTAAATTTGTGTTTTATACGAATTAAGAAAATCACATATGACATGTTTCTACAGAGTTTTACAAGTTTAGATATATTTTATTTCCTTTGGAGGGACCCAGGCTTGCTCTTTCCGATCTATTTCCTGTCTTTATGCTAAGCTAAGCTAACCAGTTTGCTCCAGCTACATATTTACCATATATGATCTCTTGACAAGAAAGAAAACTTATTTCCCAAACTGCTGTCAAGGTATTCTTTTAAGTTGCAACATCAGTATCAAAAACTGTGACAAAAGTACAGAAACTGTGTGTGTGATTGTGTGATGTGTGTGTGTGTGTATGTGTGCGTGTGCGTGTGTGTGCGTGTGTGTGTGCGATTTATAGTTCTCTCATTGTTACTTTGTGTTAAGAAAATGAAACATTTTAACATTTCTATGTTCCCTAAAGAAAATATTGAAAGAATTACTGTGTTGGTACTGGCACCAAAATTAAGTACTGTATAGTCAACACACGCACACACACACACACACACACACAGTGGCAGCATGTCACACACACTGTTGGATTACATGTGAAGAGATGCATGGCTAACTCAAGCCTGCAGAGGCTGCCCTGCCAATAAGACCAGAGGCTTCACAAAAGATCCTCATCCCACTCTCCAATAGTGAACTCAGTTGCACACATGGTATCGATGGGACAGTTAAAAGTACAATCAGCAGTGATATTACACCTCGGCATGGGAATCTAAAAGTTAAAGTGGGGCTGTTTGTCTGAGACCTGCAAGCTGAAGATAGCATCAGAGAGACACAGGGAGCGAGAGTGAGAGAGAGGCAATGAGGTGAGAAGAGGTGATTTGCCTAGAGAGAGGTGTAGAGAAAGGGCAGAAGAGAGGGGACAGGGATCCCTTTATCATCATCCTGAGGCTTAGGATGGGAGGGGGAGTAAAGAGGGACAGTAGCTGGGGGAGGAAGATAAGGCCAACGAAAGGCCTTTATTCAAAGTTGCTTTAAACGGGGTGCCACTGTTGTGTTTTTTCTTCTTCAGGATTTGTTCTTGTTCATTCAACAATGGTACGAGCGGCATAGCATGTTGCCCTTCTGAACTACAGTCAGCAGCCACATGTTTTGCAATCTAATAACTTTAGTTCATAAAGGTAAATTGTGTTGTTCCTAGAGGAGGAGAGGGCAGCAAGAGACATTCATACTCACTTGTATGTTTTAACATTGTGTTGAGTCGCCTCTGGAAAGCCAAGCATCCCGCACACAACCCGGCTGCTGTTGAGACTCCAACCCATGTCACAAACCTGCCTCCATCTCCCAGCATGTTTCACTTCCACCACACCTTCTGTGATCAGGTTTTTCTTCTTGGTAGCCATGAGTATGGGACGAAGACGGACTTCCTCAATTCGCACTTTACTATGACCCTAGGGGAAAATACACATCACATCTACTGTCACATGTCTTTCTAAAAATAACACAGAGATGTATCAGAAGTTAACTGCTGTACCTGGTTGAGGTGGTGTCTTTGGAACCTGGGGATCTCATATGGATGTCCGTTTCCATAATATCCGTATCCTGGATGCCTGCGGGTGTCCACAAGACCCTGCCACTGAGGTGCGGGGCTGCCATTGGGCCTGGCAGGGGTGGTGGCACCTCTGCTGGCTGTCTGATCCAGCCTGCGCTCAGTGGTGCACACCACCCCCAAGTCCTCAGAGTGTTTACAGTCATTCACTCCCCAACCGTTGTGTTTGCAGTCCTTCAGGGACTTCTCTGTGCCGTCACAACGTACATTATCCATCCATATTGGGCCTTGTGAATGGATAAACAATTCATTACTTCATTCATTGTGATTTTCATTGTTTGTTCAATAGTCAGACCGGGCAATGCATCTACACAAGGGCCTGAATCAGTTCCTAAACACCTAACACTTGACTTTTACTGGCAGGCTGATTTAGGGTTGCACCTTAGCGGTGTGTTTAGCAGTAGATACACAGTATTTTACAGGGCAGGGTGCTGTAGATCCTGCTCCTTGAATCCATTCAACCTTCTCTGTAATTTGGATTTAAAAGCAGCAGTAAAGAATGTCCATAAACCACAGCAAGTGTTGCACAACTCTGGCAAGTGAATGCTGTTATTATTCTAAAACAAATGCCCTTTTTCGGCCCATATATTTGCTCTGCCAGCCTGCCAGGCGACCTTAACAAGATGTAGACTACAATCCCACAACAAGTTATCTTTGTCACTTTATGATGCTAGTTATGTCTTAATTGGTGGTCTTTTCATGAAGCCATGCATACACTTAATGAGTTGTGGGACAAGCACACTGTAGCATGGAAGTTTTGGAGGCGATAGGTTGGGATAAATTGGTCCTGTATGGATGCCTGCTATTGAGCCTAAGACATCTCATCTATTAAGTGTGCCAGAAGGCATTGTGCTAGCATGCATAGTAGCAGGGTTCTGAAACTAGTGAACTAGTAAAGCTAAATGGACTGCAGCCCTTATTAATATTATTAATTACACCTGTTGGTTTCCTGCTAACACGACAAAATGTCATGGCCTTGGCTTTGGCCAACTAAAATAAGGTGACATTTGACCTTTCTTCAGTAAGATTTCTGATTACTAAAAGTGGCATAAATGTAATTCGGTAGAGGAAGTGTTCTCACCCTCTCCTTCTCCATACTTTGCGCTGTGTGCCCAAGTTATGCCGCCCTGGAAACCCAGCTCTCGACACACCACGTTGGCCAGTTTGATGTTCACTTCATCATCGCAGACGGTCCCCCAGGTGTTGTTGTGCAGCACCTCCACGCGCCCTTCGTGCGGCTCTCGCGCATAGTTGCCAGCCAAACGCACCTTGGCTGCTGGCGCGCGAGCCGACCTGCGCTGAGAGGATGTGGTCCGCCGAGGTTCAGCACGAGCGGGGCAGCAGAGGGACAGCAGGAGGAGGAAGCTGAAGCAGAGGGCGCGGGTCATCGTGACTGAGAGGAGGGGGCCTGCAGGTAAAGGTTGAAATAGTCCATGATTTAGTTTGTTCTACTCTTGTATTAAATATATATATATATTAAATTGACCAGTAGAGTCATTTAACTGGCTTGTAAATCAAGGAGCTACATGCTAATTTCCCTTCATCAATTCCAGATACCCCCTGTGACTAAAACTACCATGGATAAAGACTGAATGAGTATTTCCTCAAACAGCCCAGTCAGAAGGGACCCTGAGCGGCATGGTTATTGAATGGACCAACGCTGACATCCTCTGGACAAAAAATGTCAGGTAGTCTGCTCAGTGGCTGAATACATCCACCAACATGCTCTTTACTCATCAAGAAAGGAAGCTTTGAGTGTAGACAGTCAGAGAGATACTTGACTTGTTTTGTAGTCCGACATTTGATTTTAGTAACTGCTGCAGCGTAAATGTTTCAGTGATACGATGGGAGCCAAAACGAATACTTTTCTCTCATGTCAAATGTAGGCATATAATTAGAGACACACCAGCGCACGTTTGTATTGCAATTCCGTGAATAAACATCCCCCAAGGCTAACTACCCAGACAGAAACAGGCAGGTTTTTACTGGAGGTTAACAAGTGTCATAGCTAAACAAGAAGACAGCGCTGGAGACAGACACTGATACACTATATCACTGCAGGCCACAGGACAACACTCAGCAGAAAATATACAACATCTATTTTTCTGTTGTGCTGATAAAATTATAAAGGAACAAATCAACAACAAGCAAGTCTTTAGTAAATCAGAGTGAAAAAAATTTAGCTTCTATTGCATACAGCCATATACTTAATTGCTACTTAATTCAAAATTTAAAACAAACATTTCCTCTTTCTGTTTGAACTTTGGCAGTATTACAGCTGACTTAAAATTAATCTAATCAAAGTAAAGAATCAAGAGAGGACAAGAGCAACCTAAGCCTGTATCTAAACACCTGTTACACTTTCAGACAGATGCATATGTATATGTAAATCTAAAGAAAATTAAATTCCAATTATTCTTTACCAAGAAAAAATGTAAAAGGAGAAGGTAAGGTGAAAGTTCACTCACCTGGCAGGCAGCAAATGTTTGCAGTGGTGGACGTCACTGCCTAGGGGAGAGTGCCTGAGTGAAGGAGTGTGTCTACTAAATGCTCTCCTTAGTCAATCCTCCCTTCTTCCCTCCTTCTCCCTATATCCCTCCCTGCCTCCCTCCCTCCCTTCCTCCCCCCTCCTGTGCTCTCTTTCCCTCTAGGTTCCTTTTCGCTCATACATAAGTATTAATTCACGTGCCAAAACGTAAGGCTGGTTTATTAGATAATGCTCTAACAATGTTCCTATAAAATCAAAAATATCAAAGTAGTAGGTTGCCACCACTGATGGGAGATTTGTCATTTTAATTTATTCTGTTTCTTTCTTTGCTGACATTTGTATAATATTGGATGAATACTTTTATGTATTGCTGAATTAGGTCTGAGATGAAACATGGGACAGTCGTTCCTCACAGATAAATGAGTCTGACAGTGAATTTTTGACAAATTAGTCTCCAGCAACAGCAAGACTCATCATTTTCCGGATGGGGTGTTTAGCAGTTTAGCAGAAATGGACTTCATACATAATGGAACCCATTTTCATTATCAAATCAAGTGTTTTACTCTGATTGGGCCTCTCTACACCTCTCGTCTCTGATAGGCGGATGATGCTTTACACAACTGTGCGTTCAGTGTTACACAACCCTAGGTTAAACGTGTGTAAATGTTACCAACAGGAAGGACTCTGGTTCCAGAATAGTTTCAAACACCACGTTCCAAGTGTCTTAAAGAAGCTCCCTATACCACAGGGTAGATATTTCCTTGTTGAGATTGCCGCAAACCACCAATTCTAAATTAGGCTCAGCCTCACCGTAGCCATGGTGAACGTGACCGATGAGAATATACCATACCGCCCCTGCCCATGAGTGTGTTACTACAGTCTAACCTATCATCATGGCATAGAGAACATAAAGGTTTAACTAATCAGTGTAGATTCAGATAAAAATGCAGGAAAAAGTCCTGTTTATGGATTTCAAGCTGGGGTCACTTGAGTGCTCAGTCCTGATCCAGTTTCCTCCAGATGTCTGCGAAAACCTTTCTACATGTTTAAAACTTGTTTATTTATTTTTTGAGTCATTTCAGGAGGATTCAGGACAAATTTAGCTACCAGGAAATTTTTGGCCTCAGGGTGTTGTGTTGATAAACTGTATTTCAGTTTTCAAGTAAACCTCAGTGGGCACCTTTTTAAGGCAGCAAAGTTTATTCATAGACATGAAAAATTACAATCATGACAGGGGAGTTAGGACCTGAAACATCCACAGGCATAAAACGGCCAACGCCAACCACGGCCATAAAAAGCACTTCGTATGCAGATTTCCAGAAGGGTCAAAAAGAATCATATGTTACATACAGTATGAGTGTATTTGTGTGCACACATATAAATTTTGAAGCTGTAATTGAGATGTTTGTGTGTGCCAGTGATGGTGCAACTGGGTGGCAGGATGGTGGTCCCTCCCTGACTGGTAAACCCGAACAGGAAGAGCAGACCCCCTATTAGCTGGGCCAAATCAGAGGGATCTTCAAGGCCGACAGGGAGAGGTAAGAAAAAAAAAAGCAAAAAGGGGCGTGTTAAGGTTAAAAATATAAATATCATTGCTGTGTGACATCGTTCCATTATAAAGTGTGTTGCATATCAGATTAATTAAACTAAACTAGACAGGTGTCCCTAACTGTGTGTCAATACTTAACAGCTCAGTGGGGGTGTATGCTAGAGAGAGTGAGTTACAGGACTCTTGGAGGGCTCACAGGGCTGAGAGTATCTGAGCGAAGCAGCTCTCTGTGGCAGAGCTCTCTCCCTTACTCTCTCTCTCTCTCTCTCCCTCTCTCTCTCCCTCTCCACCTCTCTAATTACGCCAACCGAGTCGGCTCTGCCCTTACCCACAATCTGTGGAGGCATGAAATAAATACACGCTCTCCAACAATAAACAAGTGCCTTTTCAAACGACAGCACCTCCTCATGCTCACCCCCACTGCTGTCTCTACAGGCTTTTATACTGCTTTTACTTTCATACTGGCTACAGTAGCATGTAGGCACAAACTGTATAGAGGACATTCTATAAAGTTTGCAGGACTTTGATAAAGGTTGATCTCATTAGATTGAGCATCAAAGGCCATCTTTGCCTTAACCTGAAGGGTGGCTACAATTTGAATATAAGGTAAAAATTATATAAAATAGGGTTAAAATGTAGTGTTGGCAATATATACCCTAACAAACCCATTTGAATCTGATATATCATGACATGAAAATGAGCAGATTCATAAAGCCTATTAACTTTAAAGGACATGCATGCAATTTTAAACTGTACTACACCAGTTTAGTATTGCACTTAAACAGTCAGGGGAACGAAAAAAGAATGGTCAATATCATAGCAGCAGAGGCGAAGATATCCAGATTTTCCCTTTTTTTTTTTGTTCAGTATCAGGGTTATTTTTTAAACTTTATAGACTTTATCCAATTGTTTTCACAGACTGATTCTTACTCACTTTGAGTAATCTAAACTGCATGTGTAAAATCAGTGAAGTGTCCCTTTTATTTTTTCAGCATCAAGCGATCTCCCACTTGCATGGACTTTACATGCACTCGCAGATGGCATCAGGTCCCAGTTTCTCTCTATTCAAAATGTCATCTGTGGCATAATGGTTGCTTTTCCCACACATCTTCAGTAATGTTAAGTCATGTCTCCATCTCCCACTGGTCTGGGTGGTTACAGATTCCCTAATTCAACTTTCATGCTGGCCACACAAGTGTCTGCTTCCAGTGATGACAGGGTTACCCTACCCCCCCACCACCACCACCAAACCAAACAGACACAGACACACACACACAGAGACACACACACACACACAGAGACACACACACAGAGAGACAGACACACACACACACACACACACACACACACCAGGGGTAAAGCCTGGCCTGCTTTGATTTACTTCTTAAGGGTTTTGAGCATGAGGAATGATATAGAGCAATGTCTTGGTTTCTGAAGATCAAAAAAAGATAAATGTACAGTGGGGTCCAAAAGTCATTGCATATGCTGGTTAAGTTGGTGACATATTTCAGTGAAAATTTTTCAAGTGCAACACTGCCGCCTTGTGGAGGTCAGGAAAACTATACCTATGTTTATGACATATTAGTAGAATAACTTCATACATTAGACATTTAACATTCAATTTGTGCCATTATGCATGGAGAGACTCAGAAATGGGATGGGTGGTTCGTTTATTAAATATAAAATACTCTTTTTTTGCAGTGCGACAATACAAAATATTTGGGGGATTAACAGGATTGCAGTGCTCCGGTTATCAGTGTGTACATCAAGATAAAAAAATGCATTTTTCTGAAATAGTTTGAAAGTGGGTAAAAGACTAAGATGACATTAGACCTAGGGATATCCTTTGTCCAAATTGAAATACATGTAAAATGCAATTAAAGTCCCATGGTAATATCCAATACTTTTCAAGTCTGAAAAATTAAATACATTGTGCAACCATAGTTAACAGCACCAATCAAATAAGAAACAAGTTAAATCTGCAAGTGCAGTCTGAAGGTTTGGTGTCCAATTCCTTTTTTACAAGTTGTAGCCACAAGACAGAAAGTATTACAAGAAAAGCAGAAGTGCAGCATGTGACAGTATTTGTACCAAATGTTTTTTTTAAATAACATTTGCCTCTAAAGCCAGAAATAAGCAGAGGAGTGGCTTTTTATTTCACCTGCCATAATGTAAAAGTGCAGCTGTAAAAAGCTCAAGCCTCAAAGTATGTGGTAAAAAAGAAAGAAAAAAACGTAGGTATAAATAAGATAATAAATACTCTTGCTATGCTGTGCATAGTTTACTAGTTAATGTAGTGTGGACTTAATCCGGGTGTTGTAGCACTAATTGTTGTCTAGTGGATGATAGAGATTCATGCCAAAAGGTTTTAATGCACTGTCTAGTGTTGAAACTCAGAAAAGAATTAGTTTGTTTTCAGTGCAGAGCCATCAGATGAGGCATTCTTTGGTTCACTGAAATACTGGAATGGAGGCTGTAAGGTCAAAAACACTGTTTGTCAAGGTTCAAAAGGTCTGCTAGTCATGTGCACACACACAGTCATGGCTATGTGTGTGACACAATCCATTGAGCATGAATTTTTTGTAAGGCACTGTCTTATCGTATACTAGTTTATCAGTGATGTCGTCATGTCTGTCATAGATATAAACAACCTACAAAAACCGACTACTTCTGCCAGAGCTGGTGGGCATGTGTGTCTGACAAAGAACTGAATATCAAGTTGGAACTTTTGGATAGATGTAAAGCATTGTGATGTTTACTGTTGTCTACTTCAATGCTGAGATAAATGAATGAATGAAAGCTGTGTTTTGCATGGGGTACAGAGATAAGTGCCTCAACTATCTTTCTTATAGTCCGCTAAACAGGGAGAAGTGAAGAACGTCACACCTGACACTTCATGCAATCTAATACAAGAAAACCAAAAACCTTGGCCTCAAAATTGCGATAGTGTTAAAACAACTCATCTCAGACAGTCTCACCAAAAACATTATCTTCATAACGCTAGCACTTATTCTACTGGATTGCATGATATTGTCAGGTGCTTCTATTGCTTCTTATACAACCTACAAGTATTGTTATGAACGACAATGAGTCTCAACTCATGCAGTGAGTGTGTTAAATCTTTCACCTATACCTTATACCTAATTTAATGCACCTAATTCATGCATTAATACATACAATCCTGCAATCCCTCAATTTCAGTTTGATCATCTTAACTAAGGCTACATAGAACATTATAAAAGGCACCTCTCTGGGTCTCTGTAGGTTACTGGCTAAAACAAAAACCTCATCTGCATAGGGGAGGTACTGAAATGACAGGTACGTCTCTTAGTATGTCTTTGGTCTAGTGGACAATGTGCTGATATTTGAACAGAAGCAAGAAGTAGGAAATGAAGCCCCACTATGAACCACAGACTGACGTGAGCAGTTGTGAACTACGGATAAACTTTAACTGTTAAAAATCAAGTTCACAAACTGCCAATTAAAGTAATGATAAAGTTACTGTACTTAAAAAATGGGGAGGAACACTGCTTTGCGATGGAATTTCTAAAGAAGGAAGGTCCCCAGAATAATCACTGAAGAACCTTGGCCTGAAAAATCCATACTGATACCTTTCATCACTTCTTTACATGACAGTGTCATTACTCCTTCCCCCCAGTAGTGAACCCAGGCAGTTTCACTTCCTCCTTCTGTTGTAGGCCTGTGAAGTTAGGTTGTATCTCTTAAAGCAGGAATAGGTTACCTGTGTACCATGAAGGGCTACAAATATGAGGGTTTTCATCCAAAACTGAGACTACATCTGGTGATTTTGTTGCTCCCTTCTGGTTAATGTTTTACTATTGAGCAATTTCATCCAGGAAAGTCTTTGGTTGAAATAAAAACCTTCATGCTTCCAGTCCTCTGTGGTACATGTGTCACTATTCCACCCTTAGAGCCTGAGTGCTGGTCCATTCTGCCACAGTTAATATTCTTAACCCAGAGAACCTGGTCCTGTAAGTACCGGCTCCTTTGGCTCAGTCTGTGTATCCCACTTTCCTGCATATTACTGAGGCAGAGGGTAAACTGAGTTCAAGGCTGCCAGGGCTTCCTGTCCTTGCCTTTCTGATCAGGAATGTGTTTGTAGCGACATTTGTCCCCAAAATGGCAGCCTGTGGTTCTCCAGAAGTAACACTCATCTCCGTTCACTGGGCCACGTCGTCGAGGTCTGGGAAGAGAGGAAGGTGACATAAGTAGAGAAAGATATAGGGAAAGCACATTAAGTATAAGAGCAATCATAACGTTAGCCTCACTGTATAATTTCAGTGGCTCAGAGTTCCTACACTGAGGCTGAAGTGCTTCTTACCCAGCAGCTGCCCCTGCCTGCTGTGTGACAGGGAGACAGGTCTTAAGTGGAATGGGAAGGACCCTTTGAGTGCGACGGTCAGGATAACGCACCACTAAACGTGTGTTCTCAATACAATAACCCTGTAAGAGGAAACATACATGCTGTAAGTCTGTAAACATGTTCTTTAAAAACAGGCACAAGATTAAGAGGGGAATCAAATACATACATTTAGTTTCTCCATGGCACGTGCTGCCATGTTTGCATTCTTGAAGTTCACAAAGGCACAGAATCTCTCATGCAGCACACGGATACTCTCTATCTCACCATACCTACAATGGAAAGCAACAACTTAACAGAAAAGTCAATAACCACCTTGGTTAAATATTAGATTTCCATGTTTCTGTTCAAAGAACTAATAACACCAGTGTTTGCCAAAATGTCTTTTAACTTATTAAAATACTGGTCCGCTTTTAATTATTATCATTAACATGAAATATTTTGCTAGACTAGGGTCATACATTTTAAAAAGGTCCCGCAGGTGTTTCTCAGTTAGCTCAGTCGTCACATTTCCTACCCACAGAGATGGGCAAGGGCTTCTGAGGGAAAGAGAAAGAGACAGAATGTGACTAAAAGCAATAAAATAACATAAATTGTCAATACTTCTCAAAAGCACACTTAAAGTGTGGCAACCTATAAAGACAGAAGCAAAAACTGAGATGAACAAAATACATTTCAACCACAACAGAGGCTTCTAACCCTTCTGACCCCTAGCTTCGGTTTGTACCCACCCTGGTTGCACAACTGATGGATCTTGGTTCCCAGCTGGAAAACAAGAAGAATTACATGAATAGTATATACAGAAAATGGCTGTAAGATTTCAGCATATAGCCTATACTATACATTACTCCCCTTTAGTATTACAAAGAGAAACTGCAGACCCTTTTTATAAAATATGTACATGTAGTCTTACCCCTGGCGGCATCAGAACAAGCTGCCAGAACTGCCTGCACAGTTGAAAATTTCTCCAGAAGATGGACACTTTGCATTTCTTCAAACCCAAGCTCCTGAAGAAAGAACAGAGTAAAATTAATAACCAGTCATAAAAATACAATCAAAGGAACTAAAATTTAAATCAAGATGACTAGTTTACTAACTTAATGTTGCTTCTGAAAAGGAAAGTTTTGGGTGTTTACATTAGTAGCTCCAAATCTTGCAGGCTTTGCCACTTTGTAGGTGTATTTACCATTAACTGCAGCACTTTACAGTTAAAGAGGTCAGTGACAGCCTCCTCACAGTCTTTGTCCAGTTTCAGCACCTGCTCCATAGCCTTCTCTGCCTCACTGTACCGCTACAACACAAACAAATGAGTTAGCACAGGCTAATCTAACCACAACAGCTTAAATATGAATCTATTCAGCAGATATTTTTTTTGATTACATGTTATATCCCAAGACCACAGTAGCCTGTACCCACCTTCATGCCCATGAGAGCACTTCCCTTTCGGAAGTGTCCTTTTGGCCAGTCTGGGGCCAGCTGAATGGAGCGTTCAGCGTCTGCCAGGGCCTGAGGGTACTGTTCCAAGCAGTAATAGCAATAGGACCGATTCCCAAAGAACCTTCAGGACGTAAATTAAAATTGCAAAAAGATTATGCTACATGTATCTAACATGTATGTACTTCCTATTTATTAAACAACTAATGACCACAGGTGACGTACCTGTTATCCTTTGGATCAATTTTGATGGCTTCTGTAAACATAGTGACTGCTTGTGCATACTGCCCCTCTTGCACCAGTTTTATCCCTTTTTCTGTGAGAAAGGTAAAAAATGTTTGTAAATAATTCTCTGGCGAACGGTCGCCTGAGGGCTCAACTGAATGCAGTGCTGCACTCTGACATGGTTGTACAAAGGAACGTGTAATCAATAATTTCCTCCAATGCTCAAAAAGGCTGTTTATTTAACTTTCTATTCAGAAATCATTCTTTACCTGTCAGTGATGCACTTTTCTTCATTATGGTGTCAGTTCCATTTGTCTGTAAGAAAAATATGATTTTGTTCCGTTCATATTTACAGCTCTGAAAATGTACTTGATCATTAAGTTCTGATCATTCTCAATAGCATAGACTATGCATACATACATTTACTGCTGATAAAAGAATACATATGGACATGTATGATTTTTTTTTAACGGCGGAAACAATATTTAAATTTCTAGCAGCTGGATGAGTATTTTAGGTTTATGCATCTACTTAGTTTTGTTATTGACAGATGCAAATATAGACTTATTTTAACGACTAAAGCAATTCATTAACCTACCTACCTACCTAAAGACACCAGTGACAAAGGTCTGAGTGTCATTCTACAGCTCAGATATAATAGGTCAACACACACACACACCTTATGTGAGTTATGAGGACACAGGTTTATATAATGCTTTCCCTAGCCCTTTTCCCTAACTGCACCATCAGAAATAAATGCCAAACCCCAACCCTTACCCTAACAGTGCTTTGAAGTTGTGAGGACCAACCAAAATGTCTTCACAATGATGGTATCAAACCAAAGTTTGTCCACACAACCATAGAAAGACATGTTTACACACACACACAGAAAGAGAGGGAGAAAGAGAGAGAGACTCCAACAACTATTATAAAGGCTTTCATGGGCCAAAGTCCACTTTTCCACAGATGAGACTTTGGAATTGCCAGAGAAACACACTGCTGCCACAATAAAAACAGGGGACACTTGTGATGGGAGCTCTAGCTATTGCTATACCTACTCATCTTACATTAACCATTAGCTTTCATTCACCTCTCTCCTGGCCTCATTCTCCTTGTTTTCTTTGGACTTGCGACTTGATCCTTTGGGTTTGATATGGCTAGCAGCATTAGCAAAGAAGGCACTGCTCACATCCCACTCAGGCTCCTGTGGAACACAGAAAGTCAGACATTGGTGTTCAGTCATGTATCTTCCAGGCCTACAAAAATACAGGCTTTCATTTAAAACAAATAGTACTCCAACTGATTAATTTACTTAAACTAAAGTTGATATATAACAGTGATATTTTCTACTACAGTATTTGGTTGGAGTTAAAACCTTTTACTTTTGAGCACCAATGGCCAATGACTAGAAATGACAGCAACAGAGGAGTCATACATGCATAGTATTGCAGTACCTCTTCAGTGGTTCTGGCTTGGCTCTTCTGATGTCCTTTGATTCCTGAAGTAGCCACTACTGGAGTAGCGGCGCTTTTCTGTGAGGCAGATGATTTTGCCTCCTTGTTCTCCTCTTTTTGCACTCTTTGTTTCTCCTCTTCAGCACCAACCTCTGCTTCTGACTCGCTTTCATCCAGTTCAGACTCTGCACCTCCATCCTCGTCTTCATCGTCCTAATGTGTCAGAGCATTAAATTATCCAGCTATTCACACCAAAGGCAAATGCATTTCGGTAATGTGACCGTTACCTGCTCAACACTCTCATTTTGCTTAACCTGCTCCTGCTTCTTGCGTTTTCGACGGCGCTGAAACAGATGCAGTACTTAACACATCACCAGCCATACGTAGAACAATCGACTTTACTTATTAAAAGGTGCAACAAATAAGGATCTTTAAGGGGTGTAAGGATTTGTGTGCTCACCTTCCTCTTGGCTTTGCGTCGCTCGGCCTTCCGTCTGACCTTCTCCTCCTCACTCAAATCCTCCTCTCCATTTAATGCATCCTAAACAAACACACAGTTCAACATTGCATGTTGTACCTTCCCTCTTTCAGTCCTGACATTGCCACTGTCACACTGACACTATTTGTTTACCTGTAACAAAGTGGCATCATCACTTGGGTCAAGGGTTGCAGCACCACAGTCCATCTGCTCCTCCTGCTGCTGGACAGCGGGACCTATTGGGAAATACACAGCACATCAGCTCTTAAGAACCTGATTACACTGTCTTCTGCTGTCCTCATTTTTCTCAGTATTATCAAAGAAAATCTCTTAATATGACTCTTGTTCCTATAATGATGTAGTGTATAGGGAAAAGTCTGCTCAGCAAGTCTTTACTTATATTCTATTACATGGTAATGTGTAACAAGGTAAGACCACCATCTATTCTTCAGCTGTGCAACACAGCTTAAACACATACATTTCAATACATTTCTCTACACAGTGAAAGTGCATAATGCTTGATGCCTGTGAAATATGAGATGAGATGGGCAGCATTATCATTTGATCTGATGACACGCTTCTCTTTGCGTCTACATCCAATGCAAATCTTCAACATGCCATCAGGCTGAATAAAAGGTCAAGTATCCATGATACTGAGGATATCCCTGACGAAAAGATACAAAAAGTTTTGTTCATAATTTGACTTGATAATAACATAATGGTGCTTTGCAATAATGTTGCCCTGTACAAGATATAAGTAACTATACTTAAATATTTGCACATCTACAAGTATGCCGCAATGCTAGTGTCCTAACTTGACAACCGAAAAAAAAAAAAAAAACCCTTGTTCGTGTGGGTGGTAAATAAACATGTTCTCTTCTTCCTAATTTACTTTGAAGTCAAACCAGTATGACCTTTGATAAGAAAAAGCTAAGTGGAGACAGGGAGGATTCTGTAATGCTGTCTTATAATAAGACTGGATCTCTCAACGTGAGATAAATATGCACACAGTACAGAAAAGTGCTCAGTGAGATTGATTCAGGTTGTGTCTTTCTTTCTTTTTGGTCTTGAGAGAGAGAGAGAGAGAGAGATGTTTACTCTAACTTTTCCACTGCCACAGGCCTAACATGCAACACACAGCTGCCTTGGGCACTGCTGCTTGAAAACGCCATATCTTTTCGTAGAAACTTGACTGAAAAACAACACACTGCCCTGGATGTCAGATCCTGTGTGTTTGTGTGTGGTGTGTGTGTGTGTGTGTGTGTGTGTGTGTGCGTTGGGGCGGCATTGATCAGGTCAAACCAGAACCCTGTAGCCGATTTAGGCCCAATGGCAGCAGACTAATGGCAACACAAAAGGAAACATATCACTGGACCATGCAGGAATCTATGTGGTGTCATATTTCCATTTGTTCAGCAAAGATTTCCTCAGTAGTGACATATTCAAACTTGGTCTGTGACTCATGTTGTGACTCGTGAGGCACTGATGACAGTGGCTGCGACTCTCCAACTGCGCAATGCGTTTTTTTTTACGTATTGCATACTATATCACTTGTGGGCAAAGGAAGACATCCTCATTATCTCTCGATATCTATATTTCCCAGGGTACTCGGATCTGGTCAACATTTTAGACAGTGCTAACAACAAAAGTCACTACCTAACTTTGCCCAAATCAGCTATGTACATTCCACTACATTTTTTCGCATCTATCACTCTGAGTCTACTTGGCTTTGGTTTACCATTTTACCATCAAAGAGAGTTAGTGTCTCTGTACATACATAGAAAGTGGAAGGAATTTCAGCTGTCTGTATCCAGCTCACTACTCAGATGTCAAGAAACACCCACACCTAAAGCACAGCTCCATCCCATTAGTTCAACCAGGCTTTTGCTAAATCTCTTCAAATAAATCCTAACAAATAAATGGTCCAAGATCTGTGGACAAAAGCAACAAAAGAGTCTCTGTTTCTCCCCTTCGAGGAGACTGCCTAAATTAGTGTTGAGCTGAAAGGTGAGCTCTTTCCACAGGAATGCAAAATAATAGTGTATCATCATAGACTGGAGCTTTAACCAGAAAATCTGCTTCACAGCTCTTTTTTTAGTCCTTTAACAAGGCATTACCAAGTGAGAGACAAAGAGAGCAAGAGAGAAAACATAAGCTTATCATTAAATCAATCATCACAACCTGATGTGTCAGTGGTTTTAGTGATTTTCTGTGATTTTCTAAAAGTGACTAACAACACAAGTGTTTACACAGCAATTAAAATGGTAACAAGCTCAGTAAATCATCAGTCATTCTTTATCAAAGGCCATGGCTGCAAGGCACAACTGTTGTGGATAGAGTTGAGTGTTTACAAAGTTAGCATAGCAAGGACAACTTGTGAAATGACAGGTCTTCATCTCAAAGAAGAAGAAAACAAGAAATCTATTCAGTCTTATCTCTGATGTAAGTTAGTCTGACCCCATTATTGACTAATAATAACCCGAAAACGTCATATTTAAAGAAGCAACAGATTCAAAAATACATTTTATAGATTAGGTATCATATCATCTTTAACAAGGTGCTGAAAGAGGCTTTCTAGGATGCTCTGCTGCCTCTGATGTGGTTTTGACGTTAAGTCAGTAAACTATAGCCTGGTGTAAGTATTATTAGGAAACTAAACACACATGGAGAGTCAAGAAGAGGAACAATGTCTGGGCAATGACAATGGGCATTAAAAAATACACAATTTGATGCTCATATAACTCTAGATATACCACGTACTGTGTTCTGGGCTAAGGGGCTTTTGCCACCTATTTGAGGCATTGTTACCATACCAACATGTACCAGAGAAAGTACTTACAATCCCCTTTAGTTTTGGTCTTTTATGCACATCTCCTGCTAAACAAGTCATAATTACACTTGTTAGTTGTGTTATTACTCGCCTTATGAATGCGTGCGTTTTAATAAATACGAGATTACAACAACTTTATAGCACCAACTGCGCAAACTTGGAAGTGGTGCAAGCCAGGGTGTAACTGGCAAGAGGGGAACTTTCATTGTTTTACCAAGGACTGAAATTGAACTCAACGACAAAGACATCTGCGAACTAGTATCACAAATTTACAGTTTAATAGACCAAGTGTTAAATATTATCTACACTTTTATTATCTCACGCGGTTTGCTAACACTTAAGTGATCGATTTAAGTTGAGAATGAGTTTATAAAGTTTTGAAAAGTGGGACGTTTCTTACCGCTCCCGAGTCCCAAGAGCCTGCATATATCTCTGGTGAATTTCATGAGCGCAACCATCCAGCATTATCGTCTCAAGTATCCCACAAAAACGATTTTAAACAAATGTTTGGGTCAGTCTGGACACGTTTGTTACAATCGGGACAATCGCTATCGAATCTGCGGGAATCTTTGGTGGTTTAGTCCACTTCCTGAGCGTCAAACATTGACGCCGGGTCCACCCTGAGCAGCGTCTTAAAGGCACAGGACACCATCATCGATTATTGAACGGTTTCACAGGGACTGGTACCAACAAAGGATGACGTGTATTATACAGTATATAAATGTATAGTGCTCTGATCAATAATTAAGAATTATAATATTGAGTGTGATGATGATTTATTTAATTCCACTTACATATATTCTATTATTATAATAAGATATTTTGTATTACTTACTGTCACAAGTGACAAAAATGCAAGTATATAGACCTATAAATTTGTGTGTAGGGGTTGAAGAAAAAATGATTAACTCAAGATTCATTTACTAGGTGTCTTCTAGAGCTTTCAGACAGATCTCATGTTATGGGCTCTGGAATAAATCTAGTAAATTAACCTTGAGTTAAGAATGTTTTAACTCATTTTTAGGGTGCTTTTGGTTTGCAGGGTCTTTATTGTCATTCTAGATCAACAGGTGTATAGATATATAGATAAATGCCCAGGGTGGTAACCATTTTGCTATTATTCAATATTGACCAATATATTGGTCCTTGGACTAACGCTATCATCAGAAAAAAATTATACTAATGGTTTCCTGTAAGAGTATTTAATTTTGAAGAAAGTATAAGAGCCATTAGGCCACATTCCTTGAAATATTCATCTAACATTAATTTCATTCTAACACTGATAAGTGTTGTTTCATGCCTCCCATGCCCCCCTCCACATAACCCTATGTGGGTCATGGTACTTACTGGTATACTTGAATAGAACAAAGCCCTGGTTAATGTTATTACTAACTCCTGTGTTTCCTACCATGACAAGTCATAATGTCTTCTATGAAAAAATCTATTAGATTTCTACCCTGATATACTAAAATGACACATCAATCCTAGTGGAATGAACGCAGCATAAAATACACCAGTAAAAATTCTGCATAGTTTAATGAAAATGACACATATTTGCTTGAATTCATTTGAATTTATTCATACAAAGTTGTAAAAAGTTCCATTGTCATTTCCATGATTACACCTCAGTTTTAATTCATTTCATAAAGTCAAATATCAGTAATTCTAAAATTGCATTTGACTTCAACATTAATGTTGTGTTGGTTCCGTTTCCATGATTTTCTGTTGGCTCAATTATAGATGATTTCACGAGTGTCATCACACCAGGATTGTGTGGCAATATTGCACTAATGTTTAATATCAGGAGTGATATCCAGCATCCAATACACTGAGCTTGAAATCCTGTTTTATTGAACCTCTCTCTTTCATCCCATGTCAGGTGTATCATTAAATCAAACATTAATCCCCTTTTACACTTACAAACACAATGCACGACATAATATGGTGGAGAGACGACTCATCAAATAGGTAGATGAAGTGAGTGTAGAAATGTATTGCTCAAACTAGTCACATTCATACGAATCAAACAAAAGAGAGGCTGAACCTTGTTGAGCTGACCACACACTGATGCTGTCTGATGTTTCAGTGGCGTTTCAGGTCAGCCATGACAGTGAACGCTGCGTTCCAGCCAGGTGAACCCATCACACCACCACCTAGAGAAACATTGAACATACAAAATGTTCAAGAATTAGTCAATCTTGTTCTGTGTACTTATTCTATGTAAGGAAATCAGAAACAGCTTACTCAGCCATCACCAAGTTAATTTGTTTCTTTATTGTCAGCAGTGAGGATAGTATTTCATCCAAAGGATCAAAGGTTCATAAACTGTTCAAACACTACACAACATAACATTAATGATTGCACGTATACTACACTACGCACAACAGACAGCCACATTTGCAAATAAGTACTAATCTGAGGGTTGAACATTAAGAGCAAACCTGGATGACAGCCACTGCCGCACAGATATAGCCCTTTAACTGGCGAACGGTAGTCTGACAGGAAGGGCAAAGGTCGTGCTAGGTAGAGCTGGTCCAGCGACATTGATCCGTGAAAGATATTCTGTAAAGAGGAGACCAAATTGTTAACTTTTCTTTTTGTTTCTTGATATAATAGAAAGAGAACCTGCCACTTCCCATGTATTCTGTGAGTTAATGTCATTTTACACAGTTGATGTGAACTTTGATTCTGACTCATGGGTTATGATAAAGCTGTCTGTAACCATTAACTGCTTATACAACACATCTGTACCTGAGTGGATAGTGAACGATAGAACGCTGCAGAGGACGCAAATTACTTCCTCATCCAGTGAAAAGTTGATTGTGTTAAGCAAATAAGCTGTGTATCACCATTCAAATTGCTGCTCAGTTTTACAATGTGTACAGTGTATTGTGTGTACCCCTCCAGTGAGCCCAAAGATCCTCTCCAGGTCAGGCGGAGCCAGGATGTCCCTTCCCACAACCGACTTCTTAAACCCAGGGGCATATTGCTCCACCCATTCAAATGCTAAAGAGACACAAAGACTCATGCTTTATCACAGAAATCATTGATCAGCATACATTTAAAAAAGTGTCGTTCCCTTAAAAAAAAAATTCCCAGAAAAAAATGCTTCCTAAATTTAACCATTAAACATTTAAAAAGGACAGATTTGTAAGTAAATTTCTGTCTTTAACTTATTTTGCCGTCATATAATTAAAAAAACATGTTTCAGTTTAAGATCAGCTTTAAGCGCAGCACACTAGAACTTTTGTGCCTGAGTAATAAATATAGTAGCAATGTGCATTTTTGTAATACTTTGTGCTATAAGAAGTCCTAGATGATTTTGTATGTCTAACCAGTGTCTGCGAAGGCCTCTCTGTCCTGGTCAGTCCACGCCCTGCCTTCTATGTGGTAGGGGGTGAATTGGGTGAATAGTGACACAACGTGGCAGCCAGGGGGAGCCAGAGTAGGATCCAACACAGAGGGGATGGTCATCTCCAGCATGGGTCTACAGGAGCAGAGAAGCATGATGAATCAAGATGGTGGCAAGTGGAAGGGTGAGTGAGTTATGGATAAACATTTGGGAGAAGAGTTTTTTTTTTAAAGATACATTTTGAAAGTCAAGAAAAAAACTGTTGAATATTCAAGATTGCGATGTCGTGCATCACGTGGTCAGCAGTCTGCCAGCAAACAAACTTTATTAAATGATATACAGATACTTGGAAGACCTTATGTTTTGGGGACAAAACATTCATTCAAGGCTAAGTGTTAGTTACAAGATAAGGATATGTAAACACCTTAGCCAAGTCTGTTGCAGAGATATGTTGACATAAATGTGTGGAGAAAATATCTACTGCAAGGCACATAATGTTATAGTTTTTAAATAGTTACATTATAAAGAAGGACTTAAGTTGCGGTGCGATAGGCACTAGGTTTTACAGCTGCAAGGTTAATCTCTAATCTATACTAATAAACACCTAACACTTTGCCCTGTATTCTCTATAGTAAGAAATGCAGAACTAGCTCTTATGTATGATATAGGACTTGAAACTTGTTTGTCCAGAACTCGTTACCTCTTGTTGTATCTCTTGCATGTATGGTATGTGTTCAGTCATATATCAAGAAGAGCAAATTAAATGTGTTTAAGTGCCCGCTTATGTAGGAGTGTGAAGATATATGTACCTTACTGAGGGACGTCCATTCATGGCCTCTTTGTATGCGGTCTCCAGTACCTCTACATTTTCGCAGTTGAGATGAATGGAGCACTGATGGTGGGGTCCAGGTTTATCATCTGGTGTGGGAGATGCTAGGAAGTTTGGTAGCTTGTCCACTGCCACTGTAAAAGCAACAGAGAAAATGACGTGGAGTCAGTGTTTGCTCTAAGACTATCTATCACTACATACACTTCTATTCTGGTATAGCAAAGTGTGTGCTTAAGTTGAAGTTAATATTTGAATTCCAGTTTGAGCTCAATTCATTCACCTTAAAGCTAAGACTTATAATAATTTCTACAAAACAGAATAGACTATCATTAAGTTTAAGAGGCAATGCACTGCAAAGGATCAGTTGAGAGTAAGGACTTCCTGTGTAATAAAGCCCTGCAGCTCAGGCTCTACTGTAATTAACAAGCCAGAGCTACAGATGGCACCACACAGGAACCTGAAGAACTCTAAACATCTGTGTGTTGTGTGTGCTTTACACAGTTTTATAGTACCCCAAACTGTGAAACTTGTGTTTTAAGTACCATAATATACAACAGTCAATAGTGGAGGATTAAGGGCTGATCCCTCCTGATGCACTACATGTGTTTGTGCCTTATTGGCAAGTCTCCATTGCCTTACACCTTCACAGCTTTCAAAGTGTAAGTAGTGATTCAGCACATATACACACCAAATGACTAAAAGATGCCGTGTTTCACCTAAACGTGAAACATTTGGCTGGAGAAACAGCACTTGTGCAGAAATAAGACTATGAGCCCCACATCCAGTAAACTTAAGAGGAAGTTTCTTTTAAATTGTGCTTATTTTGATTTTACTGTGACATTAAACATTATCACGCTCCAAGGCTGGAGTGGTAACATACTATTTTGAATAAAAGACAGCTAATTAAACCTTTTTTTCAGGATTTCTGATTAGCGCAACAGAACAGGTTTACCATTGATCTTGGTGACAGGTGATGTGTAGTCTATCTGGTCTACGGCTTTGATGAACTCTGGAGAGAGCGCAGCCTACAATGAAAACAGAAAGGCCAGAATAAACCATACTGTCTGGTGCCATGATTACCTGAGGTGTTTATATTTCTCTGTTACCTGTGGCGTGAGGTTTTTGAAGGTGACATATGGGGTAGCATTTGATAAAACAACTTTACTGTGGATCTCTGTGCCATCCTTTAGCACCACTCCATTGGCAGCACCATTTGAACCAACCAGGACCTGTAGTACATCCTGCCAAGGACACAAGGATATGTATAAACAGAGTTTCGAATATAATTTCCATTAATCCAAAATAGACAGCAACAAGTCAATATAATTAATCAAGACACGCTACCTTCTCAGTGAAAATGTCTACACCGTAGGACTGAGCAGCGCTAGCAATAGCCTGAGACACGCCTCCCATACCTCCCTCCACATACCCCCACGCTCCTTTCTCCTTCTCCAACTCTCCCATCACATGGTGCAAGAGCACATACCTTCAAGGCAAGACCATAAAATCAGTATTTGTTAGACATCATTGTTTAATTCTCTGCAATTGTATCTGTAGTTATGAGTATTTTTTGTGCCGCAGGATGCCCTGAAACTTGTCTCACCCACTACCAGGATTACTTGGGCTGGTCATGGCTCCTATCACAGCATCAGTAGCCAGTGTTGCTCTCAGTGGCTCCGACTCAAACCACCGATTGAGAATCTAGGTCACCAACAAGAGTTAGTCATGATGCAGCAAATAGAAAATGGCATTTAACACCAAACTTTGTGTAAGCTGTAACAACCTTCATTATTGGCGCAGTTATAATCTCATAGAAGTCTGGAATGTTTCTGCCCAGTTTCAGACCTTTAAATTCAAAAACATAGCATATCTCATTGTGACTCAGCTACTACAGAAGGCATAATGAGTATATGTAAATAATTTGTTATTTAGTAATCAGAAATATATAAGCTTATTTCTCAACCATGAATCCACCTACGCACCACATTTGACAATAGGCATCAGTGTTTTGGCTGCACCCAGCCTCTTCCTGAGTGATCCAGCAGTGACGCCTGGAATGTCAACAGGAGGAGCATCCAAGAGAGGGTGGATAGCTCCTGCTAGCTTCTCAAGGTGTGCAACAAAATCTGGAAATGCCTGGGTACAAGTGAAAGAATGCATGAAGAGGAGGGTGAGAGTAGAGGTGGGTATTGTTTGAGAAAAATGGCAGAATAACTTTATACTGGTGGAGAAATAATGGTCAAGAGACAGTGAAGAGCTTTTTCAGTTCACACTACTGTGACAAGAGTTTAAACACATATGCACTGGAGTGTAAAATGCACTCATGCATATTACAGCCAACCATTTACTGTGGCTATCATATAATGTTTATCTCACCTTCGCATCCTTCTGTGAGAACTTGCCGATCTCCCTCTGGTTCATAGCCAGATCTGAGCCCAGGGTGAGAGACCTGGGTGGAGCACCTTTCACCCCCTCCTCCAACATTGGGGTGAAAGCATGGGGGTCTCTCATATACACCTTCAGCCCATGTTTCTGAATACAAATACACAGAGAAAAAAGCAATAAAATAGTGAACAGTTGCAAACAAGGCCTATTAGTTTAAGCCTTCCTAAAATCAACTAAATTAATACATTTGTACCAGTTTTTTTTTTTTTTGCATACCATCCCTATTTACCTTGAGCTCCAGGTCTGCGTATATGTGAGGTCGTAACAAACTGAGCAAATAGGAGCACCTGGAGAAGCGGAAACCTGCATACAAGAGTGTTATAAAACTTATATGAAGTGAACAACAGTGTATGAAGCTATGGACGTGGAAAATTTTAAATGACAAAACAGTGTATTATCCACACAGATTTGCTTGCCATGTATATACAAAATCAAACCTATTCCACCATTAATGGGTCAGTTCACCCAAATAACAGAAAACCATGTTTCTTCACTTAGCTCTAGAGGTATCAGGACATGCAGATAGCTTTGGAAGTTTTGTGTGCATTTCAGTCCTGTGACAGAACACACTGTCAACAGTTTTTCAAATTGGCTTTTTGTTAGTTTGGACGTGTTTCCTGTATCTATATCAAAATAATACTAAGAAAAGTGTGTTATTTGTTTGGTTGTTTTTTTTCCCATTGTTGAATTTGGGTGAACTGACCCTTTATGACCTAGGTTGACACCACCCTACCAGGGAAGATCTCCTCCGAGACAGCTGCTCCTCCCAGCACATGTCTGCGCTCCAACACTGCTGTTTTCAGTCCTCCCTTCTGAAGATAGGCAGCCTACACGCACGCACGCGCGCACACACACACACACACCTTTAACCTGCTGCTGATCCACAGAATGTGTTATGGCATACTGTAAGTGTTGGGAAACAACTGCATGAACTCACTGCCACCAGTCCATTGTGTCCTGCAATGAAATATAAAATATGTTACACAGTTTTCTTTAAAATGTTAATTCCCCATACAAACGACCAAAAGTTCTGCAATCAAGCTTTTTCCTGACATTTGTTCAAATGTAAGTTTCAATAATATTTTTTATAGTCAATTTGAATGAGTCCAAAGTTGAACCATTCAGATCGAACTGGGAACTTGCAGACAGAGACAAATCACTTTTCTAAGACGGATTAAGGAGGTTTAAGAAGTAAGAGGGCAACTCTTAGTAATTGCGTCTGCAAACTTTGCTGAACCGTTGCATTAATATTGCAAAATGTGGCGTGGCATACGTCGCAGCTGCTGTGTTTTCTGCACTTTCTCTCCCAACAATCCACACATCTCACCTCCTCCGATGACCAGCGCGTCATACTGGGATTTTAAAGCGGCGTGACTGGATCTGGATCTTGTCACTGTCCCCACAACAGTCACAGCCCTCCGTCCTCGATCAGTCCACACCGCTGCAGCCATGGCAAGAGTTTGAGGCAGGATCACACATCGATCCCTCCCCCTTTCCCACTACAGCCGCGTGAAGTAGATCCGGGTTTCCTGTTAGATCTAGCAAAGCAGTCCACTCATTAAACTGACCTGAGATAGGGGCGGGGAACTGATCTGAAGATGTGGACGCACTGTGCGTGGATCTATCTATCTATCTAATCTATCTATCTATCTATCTATCTATCTATCTATCTATCTATCTATCTATCTATCTATCTATCTATCACAGTTATAATCATCAGAAAAAAAGAATGTGAAAATTTAATGAATGATCAGATCTTACTGTTAACCTGTAACCTATGTGTTAACAGTGGAAGTTTGAAGCAACTTTTCTTCGTTTGGCCCTACACTGCTTGTCATCACGCACTGGTCCATTGGGTGGCAGAGTTGTTCCATTTTTCTACAAACAGCTCCAACAACAACTTCAAATTGGCATCACTAACGTGTAAGGCTGATCAAAACTCATTGTTTCCATTCACATTATATTTGCATGTTGTGTTGTAGTGTGAAATATTTTGATGGTACTGGCAATAGCTTTAAGAGATTAGCAACCACGACATGAAATGACTGTATTCATTTATAGACTCTCTGGAGTTCCTTTTCCAGACTCTTTACAGATATATAAAAATGTAGGCTAAATATACATTAAAAAAACTGTCTGTGTATGAAAACAACATTTGGTCCATGACGCACATGTGGCTGGTTTGTAAAGGTGCTTTCATACATGAAAAATATGTGAAAAAAATGGAATAATCAAAAAGTGCAGTTGAAGACATCCTCTCTGAGCTGGTTAATGGTTGAGACATGTCTCACAGTAAGGGCCCACCTTGAGAGTTTTAAGATGAGCTCTTAACATAGAATGGTTTCTTAGTGCTGCTGTTGAAGATGTCATATTGGCCTAGTGGTTCACTTATACCATGCATTAATAAGATAAGAGGCCATAGATCATGATGTGGACCTAAGCAGCAGTCCAGGGAATAGACAGGGGAGATAGTCTGCTGGGATCTAAGGAAGGAAGGGTGTTAACTGACACAAAAACAACCAAACACAGCAGAACATAAGCAAGTTATCTTCTCATCTTGTCTATATAATGTAGATTTTTGACTATGTTTTGCTTAGACAGTGTAAAATAATTCCTAAGGCCTGTATAGATTGTGCACTCTCTTGGTAGAGGGAATGAAATGAGGTGTTATAGTGATCTAGAGTTTCCCGCTAGACCTAACATGCCTCTCCCTTGGTGTATTAGAGTAGCATTAGTTTCAGGGAAGAGAAATGATCCTGATATGCTGTCTGCTTGATTTTCCTTTAAGGAACGTCTGCAGACAACAGCCAATCAACCATAACTAGATCAGAAGCAGGAGATTTTGTTCTTGTAAGCAGAAATTAACACTTCATTCCCCTTTGTCGGCAGAAATTCAACACTGCAGCCCTTGAAGGCTCTCCCAGGCAATAAAGGAGAAAATTGAATTATGTTATAACAGCGCCGCACCAAAACACAATTACCTCATTTTCTGGAAAAAAATGCGATCCTTTGCCTCCAGGCAGAGAGGTTGACTAGTGGACATGTTGGGCCTCTCAGCATTTACAATTATTAAATCATAAGCTACTGTCTCACAGCAGAACAGAGAAGGTGTTACAGTGCAGGATGAACATTTGAACATCCTCATATACAATGACGACACGTTTAGTCTTTATCCGTGATAAGTACATTGTTAACAAGTCTCATTTGGAGAATGAAGAAAAACAAAATTAACTTCAAGATGGAAGGGCACACACAAGGTCACATGACACAAAAATACAACTGGTTTCTAATTTCTTCATTTTATATATTATACTGTATATTATATTATAATATAAAGGCTTGCTGGGGCCCTTATGTGATCCAAACAAGATTGAAACATTTTTGCTCAATTTTTCAAAGTTAATGCAATTTATAAAACTTCAGCATAGCCAGATTATTGCCCTGTTCCTAGACATGTTTTTGCAATATATTTGTAAACTGTGTGTGTGTGTGTGTGTGTGTGTGTGTGTGTGTGTGTGTGTGTGTGTGTGTATGTGTGTATGTGTGTGTGTGTGTGTGTGTGTGTGTGTGTGTGTGTGTGTGTGTGTGTGTGTGTGTGTGTGAATTAACCAACTGATCAAGAGACTGCCCCCTGTTAGGTTGGAGGAGGAGGACAAATACACATCAGACAGTCTTCAAAGGACATTGAATAGAAAAGACGCTTGTTTGTGGGGAGATACACTTCACTTTGGCTTCGATTCTTTTATCTAGACAAAAAATGTAAGTTTCATATATGCAATCAAGCACAAAACAAGAAAGCAACACTAACAAGGCATCATGAAAAGAAATCTAAAATGAGAACAAATTAAAGTGAAACCATTACCATATGCTCCCTCTCACAATTAAAAATGTCTTTCAGACTGACCTTCACTGACCTATAAGTATGTCTTTTGATATCTTTCACAGATGCGCTAACCATGCAGCAATATCCCATGTCAAGTGGCACATGACAAGGTTTGAAGTCTTCACCAAAATACAATCATGAGTGGCATATGTATCACCCAATAGCGTGGGCAGTACTTGGCTACAATAACCAATGAGAGTCGAGCTCCTCGTCGCGGCCTGCGGTTTGCCTCGGTGTGTGCGTGTCCTCCTCGGCCTGCCCTGCTGGACGCTGGCTGGGAAGGATAGAGGCGGGGAGGGAACGGTGTAGGAGTGAAGAAGCTGTGATACAGATACCACCTCAAGGGAATGTAAAAGTTTAGGACCGAAATCAACCACAAGACGCCGAGTCTTCGTGCCTAAAGACTCAACATATTACCCGTTTTCTCATGGAAGCAGATGGATTTGTGAGGAGGCGTCGGATGACAGCGGAGACAACAGGCGGTGATCCCGGGGTTGCTGGTGCCTCAGCCGGTGCAGAAGTTCGATGGCTAGGGGGCAGATTCTGGGGAGTTTCGGAAAGTATCGTGGGAAGCCTGACACCCCGGATCGGAGGCGAGACAGAGCTACAGACTGTTGATTTTATCCGTAGTGCACAAGATGCAGAAACAGAGGACTCTGAACCAGACTATGAGGGCTTGCCACAGGGAGCTTCCACTAGCACCCACATGTTGGCTGGAGCGGTGGCCGGGATCATGGAGCACTGCCTCATGTTCCCCATCGACTGTGTCAAGGTAGCATAGCTCAGAGGCTAACCAGCTGACCAACAACTTTTTTTTATGAACGTACAGTGCTTTCACACCCCGCTCTCTGTTGTGCTATGTGGATATCATTGGTGTAGCCAACGTGTTGTGTGATTTGGTAGCATAGCTTATTAGCTAAACACGCTGCAGAGCTGACGGCTGTGAGGACAAGGTCAGTCGGCTCAGTTAGCGTCTCACATCCCTACTAGCTAACTTGTTAGCATGCTATTATAAGTTATGCACGACTAACGTTAGCTAAGTGGCTAGTTATGACAACCGTTAGGTAAAGCCCATTTGGACACGTTGCATAAAACTGCTAAACATCAAAACAATGGTGCAGTCAAACCCTCAACTGATGTTATATAACTAACTTCCGTGCAGGAAAATTGAAAGGGACAATTTAAGTAACGGGAGAAGCTAATAAGGGGAACTGCAACAACAGTTAAAAAGTTCAGGGATACCAAAGCTCTGCTGCCTGTCTACTAAAACATGGACTGGTTGAATGTTGTTGTTTCTGGTAACCTACACCCTGTCTACCACTATTAGTACTAGACATAGCAATTAATCACACTGCAGTTTTGAGCCAATTTGGCACTTTCAGTCCAGAGTGCAGCATCTATTTGCCACTTTCCCAGCACAAAGTGTGGTAGTTTTACTGAGCAGCAGTCCCACTGCCTCACACACCATAACCAATTGTTTGCAAAGGTCTTTTGATCACATGAGTCATGCAACTTCACTGGACCAGTTCTTATCATGTGGTCTTTGTTATGTATGAATTAGTTCTATTCTGTTTTTACTGTCAACACAGTAAGGAGGCATAACCTGTTGACCCAAGAGGTCAGCTAGCTGTAGCCATGCACTAGTGATCTTTGTGTGACAGTCAGAGGACCAGAGAGACAGAGCAAATGACAATGAGGTTAGTAAAGTCAGCTGTCCATGTCAGGCTGAAAAACTATTCATAAGCCAATGCTTCATCCATGTCTCTTCCACCTGTAGTCCGCCTCTGTTGCAGCCATGAAGCAGGATAAGACCAGCGTTTACAGGCCCTTCTTGTGTCCTGCTACACTGCTAATAGAGCTCAGCATCTTGCCAAGCAAGCCACATTAGATTTGGGGCATTATGACTCAGCAAAATGAAGTCGACTAACCATAAACGGTCAGTCAGTTTTCAGAAAAATAAACATTGGAGGACTTTGAGAAATATTTTAGATGCTTCATACACATTTCTTTCTTTTTGCGTACGGTAAATGGCTTTTCCTCTTAAAGGTCTCCACCTATACCAAAATAAAGGCTTTTCCTCCTGTACGATAAGCTTCTCACTTAAGAGATTGTTGTGTAATTATAGTTTAGAATAGACTGTCATTCCCCCGTAATGTACCCTAAATCCCAGTAATTAGTTGTGGATTTAAAAAAGTGTGTTGCATTTGTAGGTCTGTCAGAGTGTACACTGCACTGCACATATGAATGGAATTTCCAGTATTGACAGAGACCAAAAAGTCCTCTGTGTTTTCACCAAAGAAGTGGTGAAAATAGTGTTTACACTGAGCACAAAGGTCATTGCTCTCTAGATATCCAAACACATACTAAAGATAAACACAGCAGACCTATGGCTGGGAAGGCCTCCATGCATGTGTATGTATCGGACAGACATGAATGAATGAGAAGTAGAGTACTGACATTACAGCCTCTCCTCACTCTCATGGAAAGACAGTGAATGAATGTGCTATGAGTCTGTGTGGCAGATATGGAGTAACTAGCAGCTGGCTAGCTCTCTTCATGCCCTGCATTCCACAGCCGCAGTATAGAGTGATATGAGGACGT